CTGAGGATGCTTGCCATAGATGCAGGAGAAACGTCAGGAGAGAATGCCTCTAGAACATGGCCATATAGCCCGAAAAAACCTACAACAACCTCACTACCTCTGAGGATGCTTGCCATAGATGCAGGAGAAACGTCAGGAGAGAATGCCTCTAGAACATGGCCATATAGCCCGAAAAAACCTACAAGAACCTCACTACCTCTGAGGATGCTTGCCATAGATGCAGGAGAAACGTCAGGAGAGAATGCCTCTAGAACATGGTATTCCACAGATATATAAACCCTTTTTCCTAGTTCCAACAAACCTCACTACCTCTGAGGATGCTTGCCATAGATGCAGGCGAAACGTCAGGAGAGAATGCCTCTAGAACATGGCCATATAGCCCGAAAAAACCTACAACAACCCACTGACCTCTGAGGATGCTTGCCATAGATGCAGGCGAAACATCAGGAGAGAATGCCTCTAGACAATGGCCCATATAGCCCGAAAAAACCTACAACAACCCAGTGATTCCGGCCATGAGAGCCTTCGACAATACAACTTGAAAGAACATAACAACAAAATCTAAAATAGCATCCTCAGAGGTGGCAAGCATCCTCACCTCACTACCTCTGAGGATACTTGCCATAGATGCAGGTGAAACATCAGGAAAGAATGCCTCTAGAACATGGCCATATAGCCCAAAAAAAACTAAGAAGCACCTCACTACCTCTGAGGATGCTTGCCATAGATGCAGGAGAAACGTCAGGAGAGAATGCCTCTAGAACATGGCCATATAGCTCGAAAAAACCTACAACAACCTCACTACCTCTGAGGATGCTTGCCATAGATGCAGGCGAAACGTCAGGAGAGAATGCCTCTAGAACATGGCCATATAGCCCGAAAAAACCTACAACAACCACAATGCTCTTTAATCAAATGACAATGGAGACAAACTATCAGGAGGGAATGCCTTTAGAACATGGCCATTTTCCTAGTTTAAAACAGACCTCACAACCTCTGAGGATGCTTGCCATAGATGCAGGCGAAACTTCAGGAGAGAATGCCTTCTAGAACATGGCCATATAGCCCGAAAAAACCTACAACAACCTATTATATGAGATCTGCAAGTGCAGGGCTGTATGGCCATGTTCCAGAAGCATTCTCTCCTGATGTTTCACCTGCATCTATGGCAAGCATCCCCAGAGGTTGTGGAGTCTGTTGGAACTAGGAAATTTGGGTTTATATATCTGTGGAATGTCCAGGGTGGATATTCCACAGATATATATTCCATAGATATATAAACCCAATTTTCCTAGTTCCAACAGACTCTACAACCTCTGAGGATACTTGCCATAGATGCAGGCGAAACGTCAGGAGAGAATGCCTCTAGAGAACATGGCCATATAGCCCGAAAAAAAACTACAACTATCCTGCTTATATTTTGGATGCTCTGCTTTTTTTGGGGGGGTAGTTTTCCCTAACAGCAACACTCACCCAGGTCATTCCACAGATATATAAACCCTTTTTCATAGTTCCAACAGACCTCACTACCTCTGAGGATGCTTACCATAGATGCAGGAGAAAAGTCAGGAGAGAATGCCTCTAGAACATGGCCATATAGCCCTGAAAAAAACCTACAACAACCCAGTGATTGGCCATGAAAGCCTTCGACAAAGTCAGAGAAAATGCCTCTAGAACATGGTCATATATCCCGAAAAAACTACAACAGACCTCACTACCTCTGAGGATGCTGCCATAGATGCAGGTGAAACGTCAGGAGAGAATGCCTCTAGAACATGGCCATATAGCCCGAAAAAACCTACAACAACTCACTTTGAAGTGTTTGTTTAAATAGACAAGAGCTCTTTGCCCCACCCCAGCCATTCCACAGATATATAAACCCATTTTCCTAGTTCCAACAGACCTCACTACCTCTGAGGATGCTTGCCATAGATGCAGGCGAAACGTCAGGAGAAATGCCTCTAGAACATGGCTCTATAGCCCGAAAAAACCCACAAGAACCTACGATCTGAGGATGCTTGCCATAGATGCAGGCAAAACGTCAGGAGAGAATGCCTCTAGACCATGGCCACATAGCCCAAAACCTACAACAACCTCACTACCTCTGAGGATGCTTGCCATAGATGCAGGCGAAACGTCAGGAGAGATGCCTCTAGAACATGGCCATATAGCCCGAAAAAACCCACACAGACCTCCTTACCTCTGAGGATGCTTGCCATAGATGCAGGCGAAACGTCAGGAGAGAATGCCTCTAGACATGGCCATATAGCCCGATTCCTAGTTCCAACAGACCTCACTACCTCTGAGGATGCTTGCTATAGATGCAGGAGAAACGTCAGGAGAGAATGCGTCTTGAACATGGCCATATAGGCCGAAAAAACCTACAACAACCCCCCTGAGGATGCTTGCCATAGATGCAGGCGAAACGTCAGGAGAGAATGCCTCTAGAACATGGCCATATAGCCCGATAAAACCTACAACAACCCAGTGATTCCGGCCATGAAAGCCTTCGACAATACAATTTCCAGAGAGTTCACAGTTCTCATCTACACATAATCAACAATTTTCCTAGTTCCAACAGACCTCACAACGTCTGAGGATGCTTGCCATAGATGCAGGTGAAACGTCAGGAGAGAATGCCTCGAGAACATGGCCATACAGCCCAAAAAAACCTACAACAACCCAGTGATAGATGCAGGTGAAACGTCAGGAGAGAATGCCTCTAGAACATGGCCATACAGCCCAAAAAAACCTACAACAACCCAGTGATTCCGGCCATGAAAGCCTTCGATAATACATCTTCCAAAGGGCACCCAGGGGACACTTTTAGATATATAAACCCATTTTCCTAGTTCTAACAGACCTCACTACCTCTGAGGATGCTTGCCATAGATGCAGGCGAAACATCAGGAGAGAATGCCTCTAGAATATGGCCATATAGCCCGAAAAACCTACAACAACCCGTGATTCTGGCCATGAAAGCCTTCGACAATTATATTATGATTATTATTAAGCAGAGGCGGACGCCAGGCCGTTCACAGTCGCGGGGTCGGGCAAGAACCTAGTGATTCCGGCCATGAAAGCCTTCGACAATATATTATGTATTTATTTACTGCCTTTGTCAGCCAGAGGCGACGCAAGGCAGTTCACAGTCGGCAGCGATTCGATGCCATAATGATCAAAATACAGTTAAAACAATTATAAAAACAATTCAATACTAAAAATATAATATAAAAGTACCAACAATATCTATAAAAACAAAATCCTCGTCATCTCCTTACTTGAAATCGTTGTCCAGTTGCATCGTCAATCATTCCGTGTTCCATTTTTGTCTAATTATGCTCCCGTAGAAAAAAGTTTGCTCAAAGAGCCAGGTCTTAACCATTTTGCAAAATGTTAGAAGGGAGGGAGCCGATCTTATCTCCCTGGGGAGGGGGCGTTCCATAGCTGAGGGGCCACCGCTGAGAAGGCCCTGTCTTTCGTCCCTGCCAAACGCATCTGCGAGGAAGGCAGGATTGAGAGCAGGGCCACCCCAGACGATCCTAAAGTCCTAGATGGTTCATAAGGAGAGATACGTTCGGATAGATAAGCCAGACCAGAACTGTTTAGGGCTTTATAAGCTAGAGCCAGCACTTTGAATTAGAATCATAGAATCAAAGAGTTGGAAGAGACCTCATGGGCCATCCAGTCCAACCCCATTCTGCCAAGAAGCAGGAATATTGCATTCAAATCACCCCTGACAGATGGCCATCCAGACTCTGCTTAAAAGCTTCCAAAGAAGGAGCCTCCACCACACTCCCTCCGGGGCAGAGAGTTCCACTGCTGAACGGCTCTCACAGTCAGGAAGTTCTTCCTCATGCCCAGCAGCAGACTGGCAGCCAGTGGAGCTGGCGCAACAGAGGAGTTGTGTGCTTCCTGAGCACTGCTCAATTAATGTGTGCCGCTCGTTGGACCATTTCAAACTTCTGAACAGTCTTCAAAGGCAGCACCACATAGAGAGCGTTGTAGTAGTCTATACGGGATATAGGCTTGGGTAACCACGGAAAAATTTGGTTCTAAACTTGTTTTGTTTTTAGGGGGTCCTTGCATTTCGTTTTTTTTAAATAATTCCGAAATTTTCCTTTTAAAAACTTCTAAATACACGAAATTTCGTATAATTACGAATCGATTCGTTAATGGCGGACGCGATTGCGCAATATGCTAAAAAAACCTCCAAATGGGAGAGGGGGAACTTCTGAAGCTTCCCTCTCCCTCTTGTTGTTGACTGCTGGTGGGATAAAACACACAACAACTATAAAACTTGCACCAGGCATGCAAAAATAATTACGAAATAATTACGAAATAATTATGAAATAATTACGAAATAAATTGAAAAAATTGTTTCGAATCTAATTTACTCCTCACACTATTCCAGCATGGCTCAATATTGGATCGTAAGCTAATTTAAATACAAATTAATAACGAATTACGAAATTAATGAAGGAAACCACCCAAGCCTAGTAACTAAGCATGGACTACCATTAATTGATGTCTCCCTGCTTCCAGTTGCACCAGTTTGAACCATTTTTCTGTTCCTGATTTGAAAGTGTTTTTTCCTGTTTAATTGTGAGGTTCCCAGCTATAAAATTAGTTGTTCTGCTCCAGAAACTATATTTTTGTGGATGCCACAAACGAGGTTGAATGGATTGTCGAAGGCTTTCGTGGCCGGAATCACTGGGTTGTTGTAGGTTTTTTGGACTATATGGCTATGTTCTAGAAGCATTCTCTCCTGACGTTTTGCCTGCATCTATGGCAAGCATCCATATTCTACTGCTAGTGTCAGTGGGAAGCAGAGAAGGTCGGTGGCTGAGATGACTGGACCTCTAAAGTTCACTGGATGATCAAGAAGGTTTCACAACTCTGTTTTTAAAGCAACCCTAAAAGGCTGTCGTAGCCCAAACCCCCGTATGTTTTGCCCATCACCTTCCTCTGTAATCCATGTGCGCACATTGGGTTCATACCTGAGGCGAAGAGGATGCTGACCCCGCGGACGGCGGCCTTCTGGAACTCAACGTTGACGCGCTGCATGTAGGCCGCGGAGAGGCTGTCCTCGTCGTCCCCGTAGCTGACCGAATGGACCCAGGGCAGGGCGGAGCGGTTGCTCAGTTCCAGCAGCCAGGCCAGGAAGGGCTCCTGCCCCTCGTGGCGCCCTGTGGAGTGGGAGGGGGGTGAGGGGTCAAAGGTTGGGGACCTGACCCCCCAAAATGAGCACAGCCCTACCCCCACTCTGCCCCGCCGCTCCCTTCCTACCTGCGTTGCTGAAGACCCAGGTGGAGATGTTGGCGCCGGCACTCATGAGGTACTCCACGTCCAAGCTGGCCTCCAGCCCAGCCTTGCCGCCCCCTTGGTGGCCGACCACCTGGTCCACGTGGGAGAGGTGTGGGAAGCTCCCTCCAAAGAGCTGCATGAACTCTGAGAGGTCGGCCGGGTGGAAGTACTGCTCCAGGAACTGAGTGGGGAACATTGGGAGCAAAGAGAGCCCACTGAGGGACTGCCCCCCAGTAACGCCCACCCAGCCCCTCCTTGCCCTCCTGCCCAGGTTCACGTTCCAGAAGGAGCCCACCTAGGCTCCAGGTACGCCAAATAGTATTGGCAATGAAGACCCCAACGAAGCGTTGCCTTCTGGGGTCCAGGGGATCCCTTGCATCTGGGAGACCCTCCCAGGATGCAAAGGGATGGGGGTGGGGAGGTGTCCACTCCATGTTTACCTGTGCACAGGCCTGGCTGCTGTTGGGGGAGCGGCCCACGTCAGCCTCCGTCAGGTTGTAGCGCTTCCGGAGCACGGCCGGCGTCACTCCCAGGTGGAAGGTGGAGCTCGGGCCACGCTCCTTCGCGGCCCAGGAGCGGATCAGGGCCCTCTTCTCCGGGGGAAAGCGGTGCAGGCCACCCACTAGAAAGGAGAGAGGGAGGGGCTGTGGGCGGGGCCAAGGGCACATCTCTGGAAGTGCCATTTACCCCAGGTGTGGACCAATTGTTGTTGTTGTTTATTTATACACCCTGATTTTTCTCCACAAGGAGACTCAAACTATGAGGGTTACCCAGAAAGTAAGGTTGCAAAGCACGTAGCTCTCATGGAGAACGAGCAGTGCCAGTCGTCAGTAGCTCATCGACTGGTGTTGTGGTTAAGGTTAGAGGTGAGCATCTCATTCCATTTCCCTCCAAGTACAAAGTTCGTGATGTACAAGGGTTATCTAGAAAGTAAGGTTCCAAAACACATCGCTCTCACGGAGAATTTTCTTGGGGGAAGTTGATATCGCTGCTGTGTAGCAGGAAGCCAGCGGAAGTGAACGAGCAGTGCCAGTCGTCAGTTGCTCATCAACTGGCACTGTGGTGGTTAGAGGTGAACGTCCTCATTCCATTTCCCTCCAAGTGCAAAGTTCGTGCTGTACAAGGGTTATCCAGAAAGTAAGGTTCCAAGGCACAACGCTCTCACGGGGAATTTTCTCAAGGGAAATTGGTATCACTTGCTGTGTAGCGGGAAGCCAGTGGAAGCGAATGAGCAGTGCCAGTCGTCAGTTGCTCATTGACCGGTGTTGTGGTTAAGGTTAGAGGTGAGCATCTCATTCCGTTTCCCTCCAAGTGCAAAGTTTGTGCTGTACAAGGGTTATCCAGAAAGTCAGGTTCCAAGGCACATTGCTCTCGTGGGGAATTTTCTCAGGGGAATTTGGCATCACTGCTATGTTGCAGGAAGCCAGCAGAAGCGAACAAGCAGTGCCAGTCGTCAGTTGCTCATCAACTGGCATTGTGGTGAAGGTTAGAGGTGAGCGTCCTCATTCCATTTCCCTCTAATTGCGAAGTTCGCATTGTACGAGGGATATCTGGAAAGTAAGGTTGCAAGGCAAGTAACCCTTGCAGAGAATTTTCTTGGGGGAAGTTCATATCACTGCTGTATAGCGGGAAGCCAGCGGAAACGAAGGAGCGGTGCCAGTCATCAGTTGCTCATTGACAGGCATGGTGGTGAAGATTAGAGGTGGGTGTCCCCATTCCATTTCCTTCCAAATGCAAAGTTCACACTGTACGAGGGTTATCCAGAAAGTAAGGTTGCAAGGCATGTAGCTCTCATGGAGAATTTTCTTGGGGGAAGTTGGTATCACTGCTGTGTAGCGGGAAGCCAGCAGAAGCGAACAAGCAGTGCCAGTCATCAGTTGCTCATAGACTGGTGTTGTGGTTAAGGTTATAGGTGAGCGTCCTCATTCGATTTCCCTCCAAGTGCGAAGTTCACACTGTACGAGGGTTATCCAGAAAGTAAGGTTGCAAGGCATGTAGCTCTCATGGAGAATTTTCTTGGGGGAAGTTGGTATCACTGCTGTGTAGCGGGAAGCCAGCAGAAGCGAACAAGCAGTGCCAGTCATCAGTTGCTCATAGACTGGTGTTGTGGTTAAGGTTATAGGTGAGCGTCCTCATTCGATTTCCCTCCAAGTGCGAAGTTCACACTGTACGAGGGTTATCCAGAAAGTAAGGTTGCAAGGCATGTAGCTCTCATGGAGAATTTTCTTGGGGGAAGTTGGTATCACTGCTGTGTAGCGGGAAGCCAGCAGAAGTGAACAAGCAGTGCCAGTCGTCAGTTGCTCATCGACTGGCACTGAGGTGAAGGTTAGAGGTGAGCGTCTCATTCCGTTTCCCTCCAAGTGCAAAGTTCGTGATGTACAAGGGTTATCCAGAAAGTAAGGTTCCAAGGCACAACGCTCTCGTGGGGAATTTTCTTGGGGAAAATTGGTATCACTTGCTGTGTAGCGGGAAGCCAGTGGAAGCGAACGAGAAGTGCCAGTCATCAGTAGCTCATCGACTGGCGTTGTGGTGAAGGTTAGACATGAGCATCCTTATTCCATTTACCTCAAAGTGCGAAGTTTGCACTGTCATAGGCTACCTTAATGTTAAGGGCATGAACGCCGCTGCAAGTCATCACGAAATCATTTCGGTTTATGGAGAGGACATAATGTTAAGACAGCATGTGGCAAAATGGGTGCAGAACATATGGTGAGACCATGAAGAAACTTGGCAGAGCCGTCCAAAACAAACGTCGTGGGATGCTGACGGTGGGAGCCTGTCTCCTTCATGACCATGCGCGTCCGCACACCGCTCAAGCAACACAAGTGTGGTTGACTTCATTGGGTCGAGATGTTGGAAGCCCCCCCCCCCCCTCACAGCCCCGATCTCGCACCCAGTGACCCTCATCTGTTCACTCTATTGAAGGAACACCTGGGTGGAAAACACTTATCTGACGATGAGGACGAGGTGAAAATCAAAGTGACGAACTGGCTGAAAAAGGCGGGGGCATCACAAAATTGTCCCAAGGATGACAAAATGTACTGAACTGAATGGTGATGATGTGGAAAAATAACGTAACACCTCGTATGCTGCAATCCATGTCGGTTGTATTAATATAGATTCATTCTTGGTATTTTCAAGCACATGTTGTAACCTTACTTTCCGGATCTCTCTTGTACACACTCTAGGACCCCCCCCCCTCCCAGGAGGAGGGGGTCTTAGGATTGAATGTGGGTAACAGTGGGGTGCAATACTGTCGTCATCCAACCCCAAGGTCGGTGGAGGGGGGCTACTCCTTCCTCCCCCCACCCCATATCCCCCCCTTTTTCTGATACCGAAATCCAGGTGCTGCTTCATCTCCTTGCTGAGGCTGTAAGGCGACGGGGAGAGGGCCACGCTCCGCTGCTCCCCGTTGACAAAGTGGTGGAACTCGGCTCCGGGGAGGAGGTGCTCAGCCGTGCTATGGGGAAAAAAGAGGGGAGGGTGATGCAGTCGGAGGGGCGTGATGAAGACCCCAATGAAGCCCCCCCTCCCCGCATCCGTGACTCACCTGGCCGGCATCGTGCAGTGCAGGAAGTCCATGGTGGCCACGGACTGGCACTCGCTCACGCCGTGCTCCTCCAGCCACGTCCCCACCGCCTCCAGCGTCTCAAGGGAGGGGGCCACCAGCGCCCCCACTTCCGACAAGGACAGGTAGCGCCCTGGGGGGGGGGGGAGACAGGTGTCACTGTCGCAAGGTATTTAATATGCATATTATATTAATGTGGATTTGTTACGATATGTGTGGTGAATGGAGTTGAATGAAATCCAATCATGTCCAACTCTGGTGCTCATCTCCATTTCTAAGCCGAAGAGCCGGCGTTGTCCGTAGACACCTCCAAGGTCATGTGGCCACTGGCAGGACTGCATGGAGTGCCCGTACCTCCCCACAGAAGCAGTACCTATTGAACTACTCACATTTGCATGTTTTCGAACTGCTAGGTTGGCAGAAGCTGGGGCTGACAGTGGGAACTCACCCTGCTCCCTGGATTCGAACCTGCAACCTTTCGGTCAACAAGCTCAGCAACTCAGCAAAGATAAATGGAGTTAATAATTTTGGAAACACCAGTAAAATATTAAGGCCTATTGAACCACTCACATTTGCATGTTTTCGAACTGCTAGGTTGGCAGAAGCTGGGGCTGACAGTGGGAGCTCACCCCGCTCCCCGGATTCGAACCTGCAACCTTTCGGTCAACAAGCCTAGCATCTCAGCAAAGATAAATGGAGTTAATAATTTTGGAAACACCAGTAAAATCTTAAGGCCTGCAATGACTAAATCATTAACTGCCTGCATGCTGGAACTGTAATTAAAAGTTGCTAATGGGAACTGACATAGTAAACTGTGATAAGAACTATAATGGATGGCCCATGGATTGGACTGGATGGCCCATGAGGTCTCTTCCAACTCTTTGATTCTAATTAAAAGTTGCTAATGGGAACTGACATAGTAAACTGTGATAAGAACTGTAATTAAAAGTTGCTAATGTGAACTGACATAGTAAACTGTGATAAGAACTGTAATTAAAAGTTGCTAATGGGAACTGACATGTAAACTGTGATCAGAACTGTGACAGTGATAAGAGAAATGTTTACGATGTTAAGAAGTCAACACAAGGCTAACACCCATCAAGAAGGATCAACATCTGGCCAGGAAGTGGAGATGGAGCCAGGATGGAAGATCATAGAATCCTAGAAGAGTTGGAGGAGACCTGGTGGACCATCATCCAGTCCATCCCCATTCTGCCAAGAAGCAGGAAAATTGCATTTAAAGCACCCCCAACAGATGGTCATCCAGCCTCTGTTTCAAAGCCTCCATAGAAGGAGCCTCCACCACACTCCAGGGCAGAGAGTTCCACTGCTGAACAGCTCTCACAGTCAGGAAGTTCTTCCCCATGTTCCGGTGGAATCTCCTTCCTTGTAGTTGGAAGTTTATCATTAATTCCAAACAGGACAATTATTTCCTACACCAGAAGGAATATTCCTATAACAGACTCAATCTAGTAATTCTCAAATGGTGACAGACAGCAAGCTGTTCACCTGCCTCTGCTCCATGGGAAGGTGATGGATGCATGAGCATGTATGTAAATGCTGAGGAAACATGTAATTCTCTCTGTTAGCCAACGTAATAGGTTGCCTGAGAATCCAATGTAATTGCATAGAATCTGTATGTCTATATGCCTAATGTTGTTCTTTGTGTAAAAGCTCTGTAGAAGTCCTGATCCCTTTCCTCTCACACTGGGAATTGCAATAAAAAGAACCCGTGGCACTCCAGGCCAGGAAGAGAGACAGGGCCTTTTCTGTGGTGGCCCCTCGGCTTTGGAATGCCCTCCCCATAGAGGTGAGATCAGCCCCTTCGCTGATGGTATTTCGAAAAAGGTTGAAGACATGGATGTTTAAACAAGCATTCGATTAATCTGGTGCAACGAAACTGATGAACAAGGATTGGTTAATCACAGACGACGAAATTGGATTGCGACTACAATTAAGAGATGCATTGGATTATTATTGGTGGCCCAATAATATTGTGTATTGTGTATGTGTTTTTATGCTTTTTAATGGAATATTGCTGCTTGTCGCTGTGTTGTAAACCGCGTTGAGTCGCCGATTTAGGCTGAGAAACGGCGGTATATAAGCACAGTAATAAGAAGCCCTCGGACCTAAAACACCACTCAGCTGAGTCAAAATGCTTATTGTGGGTAATTTAAAAAAACACTCCAAAGAAATAGGTATACCCAAGTAGGTAGAAAGATAAGCAGGAACAAATAATCCAGGAAATAAATCCATCAATGTACATGAACAGAAACTTCCAAGGTAAAACTCCAAATCATGAAATCAAACGAGGTGCAACACGAATCTTTCCAAGGCAAGACTACAAGTGTTCTGGAACAGCTGTTCCAAGAGCTCCAATTTTATTTGCTTTGAATTAAATGTTGGTTTGCAATCCCAGGCTTGGGATTTTGCAGCAGGGTAGCTTCCTGTTATAGTTTGCAATCATAGGGCAAGCCACCTGTCTATTATAGTTAGGATCCCTGGTCCCGCCCCTCTCTGGGTTTTTTGGAGGGAAGGGGCCATTTTTCAGTTAGTCTCAGCAAAGGAAGTCAATGCAGAGGATGTATACAGACGTCCTCCTGTGCAAAGGCTTCGTCCCTTAAGACTTTCTGGGGGAGAACAGTCTTGAGAGCCTCTGAAGATTCCCAAAGGTTCCGGGGAAACACCCTTACAGCCCTGAGGAATTCCGGAGGGAATAACAGCTCTAACCATCAAAGCAGCTAAGTGTCTAAAGGCCTGCTGGTACGTCTGCTTGGTTCTGAGACGCAGTTCAGCCGGTAGTGGATTCAAATCAGTCAGGTTTAGGTTCACAGCAGCCTGGGAGGAGCTAGAAAGGGGAATTTTCCTTTGAACAAGGTTTTTGAAGATAGTGCCTGTTCCCTGTGAGCAAGATTGCAAGAGCCAAGAGACTGTGAAGAAAGTTTTACAATTCCTGTTTGTTCATCAATAAAAGACTGTTATATTTAAGCTCAAGCCTCATAAAGTCTGTTTAATAAGTGTATCTGTCCGAACGGATCTCCCTCTACGTCCCACCTCGGAACCTAAGATCCTCTGGGGAGGCCCTGCTCTCGACCCCGCCTTTATCACAAGTGAGATTGGCGGGGACGAGGAGCAGGGCCTTCTCGGTGGTGGCCCCCCATCTGTGGAACTCACTCCCCGGGGAGATTAGATCGGCAACGTCCCTCCTTTCATTTAGGAAAAAGTTGAAAACCTGGATATGGGACCAGGCATTTGGACATCATGGCAGCTAAAGAAAGACCTGATGACGAGCTGGAATTTGACGAGACGGAATGGATTTACGAAACTCCGAACGCTGAGCTCAGGATTAGTCTACTACTGTGTTACTGTAATTTTTGTGTAGTGATGTTTTAAAAATTTTTAATATGTAATTCTTTAATTTGTTTATATATGTATGTTTATGTGATAAAGGCATCGAATTGTGCCTTCCTCTGTAAGCCGCCCTGAGTCCCCCCCCCCCGGGGGTGAGAAGGGCGGGGTAAAAGTGACGGAAATAAATAAATAAATAATAAATAAATTAATAAGGGAAATTCCCCATAAGGCTTCTTTTCGGGGGCCCTGGCTTCCCTCTGGATCCAAGCCATACATCCTCTCTTAAAGGCACTTCATTTCAGGTCCAGCGGCGACAGAACAACAAGGTACGCCACTATGTCTTGATCCAGTTCCAAACGTTGCTTCATCTGACCACAGATTCTGTACTTGGCACTTTTATCTCCTAATCTACTCTAAATCCCCACCAGAAACTTGTTTCTATTCAGCCTAGACTAGCGTTTCTCAACCTGGGGGTCGGGACCCCTGAAGGGATCATGAGGGGGGGGGGGTCAGAGGGGTCACCAAAGACCATCAGCAAACACATATTTCTGATGGTCTTAGTTTGGTCCAGATCCATCATAGCCTGAGTCCACAGTCCTCTCTGGATGTAGGTAAACTACAACTCCAAAACTCAAGGTCAATGCCCACCAAACCCTTCCAGTATTTTCTGTTGGTGATGGGAATTCTGTGTGCCAAGTTTGGTTCAATTCCATCACTGGTGGAGTTCAGAATACTCTTTGATTGTAGGTAAACTATAAATCCCAGCAACTTCAACTTCCAAATTGTCAAGGTCCATTTCCCCCAAAACTCCACCAGTGTTCACATTTGGGCATATTGAGTATATGTGCCAAGTTTGGTCCAGATCCATCATTGTCTAAGTCCTCAGTGCTGTCTGGATGCAGGTGAACTACAACTCCCAAACTCAAGGTCAATGCCCACCAAACCCTTTCAGTATTTTCTGTTGGTGATGGGGGTTCTGTGTGCCAAGTTTGATTCAGTTCCATCACTGGTGGAGTTCAGAATGCTCTTTGATTGTAGATGAACTAAAAATCCCAGCAACTACAACTCCCTAATGACAAAATCAATCCCACCAGTATTCAAACTTGGCTGTATTGAGTGTTTGTGCCAAATTTGGTCCAGCGAATACACCCTTCATATCGGATATTTCCACGACCATGCATAACAGGAGTAAAATGACAGTTATGAAGCAGCAACGAAAATAATGTCATGGTTGGGGGGTCACCACCACATGAGGAACTGTATGAAGGGGTTGCGGCATTAGGTGGGTGGAGAACCACTGGCCTAGATTCTGTTATCAATTTCTCTCTCAACCTGGCAGAGCGCCAGAGAGATTGTTGAACTATCCTGTTTTGTCTGAAAGCATGCCTTCTATCTACTGGCTCATTGATTTCTGGAGCTGGGCCAGGTGCCGAGCTCTTCTCATGCTCAAATTATCTGGTGGCAATTCAGGCCTTCTTCCAGAGACCACATCCCATCATCCCCCAACTCTTCAGGCACATTCTCATCAGCAGAGATGCTTTGAACAGGAACCCCATTGTCATTCTCTGCATCTAAAGCACCCTCATCATTAGAAACAACATTGTATTGTCGAAGGCTTTCATGGCTGGAATCACTAGGTTGTTGTAGGTTTTTTTTCCGGGCTATATGGCCATGTTCTAGAGGCATTCTCTCCTGACGTTTTGCCTGCATCTATGGCAAGCATCCTCAGAAGTTGTGAGGTCTGAGGATGCTTGCCATAGATGCAGGCGAAACGTCAGGAGAGAATGCCTCTAGAACATGGCCATATAGCCCAAAAAAACCTACAACAACCCAGAAACAACATTGTCATTGTCATTTCGATCATTAGACACCATCACAGGCTGAACTCCAACAGAACCTATGTTTTAACGTTGTTGAAAAGTGATTCATAACATCGGCGCAGCCTCCCATGCGGGCCTCGTGGACCGGGAGTGGCGTGTTGACAGGAAGCATGACTTCCTGTCGGCATGTTTGGATTGCGCTCCTCTTGACGTTGCCCTGGGCTCACCTTTCAGCCCAAGTGGCCTCGTCGCCCTCTGACCCTCCTCCTCCTCCACCGGAGGGAATGCCAAGAGGGGACACTCCACCTGAGAGGCCTCCGGAGGATGCTCTGCAGAACCGGACTTTCTTCCCATCTCACCTGGAGCGCTTCACCTGCCTATTCTTGCGCATAAGCTGTGATGAAATCCCTTCCCGTGTTTGGCTTGGTTCTGCCAGGCCGTGTGAAGGCGGTGGGAGGCAGCCGGGCCCTTCTGCCCTCGGCGTACCTTGTTATTATTACTCAAGAGATGATTGCGTCACAGGTGCGCTTGGCGGGGACGAGAGACAGGGCCTTCTCAGTGGTGGCCCCTCGGCTATGGAATGCCTTGCCAGCAGACATCAGACAGGCACCTTCGTTGCTGACGTTTCGGAGAATGGTCAAGACCTGGCTTTACGAACAAGCGTTTGGTTAGGCAATGCAACTAATTAAGGAAGACGGTAATTGAACATAGGAACGGCACAATGACTATGAGAATGGATCTGACTTTAATCGGAGGCGTTATATATGTTGTTTGTTGATTTGTCTTGTCTGATGTTAATTGTTGTGGAGCGACGTTGTCGTCCCTGTTGTTGTATTGCTGTGTTTTAATTGCACTGTAAACCGCATTGAGTCGCCTGTCAAGGGCTGAAAAATGCGGTATAAAAGTGAAGCAAATAAATAAATAAATAAATAAATAAATAAATAAAACAAATTGGCAGGACTCAGGATCGTCTGGAACAGCCAAGCCAGGGTTGCCTCCAATCCCAAAAGGTCTCTCGCTGGGCCTGCTCTGGAGACAAGAACGGGGATTCCACTCCCAACACCAGGACGCATTCCCCAACCAGAAGAGCAGGTCAGCACTGGAATCCAGGGGAGGTTTTCTAGCAGAGGCTGGATGGCTATCTCCGGGGAGGGTTTGGATGGCCTCTTCCTGCCTGGCAAAAGGGGGCCAGGACAGGGGCCTTTGGGGGGCCCTCCCAACTACCTGGCAGGTGATGGCACAATCGTCAGCATGGATTACAGGAGAAACAAGCTGATTCCTAATCCATCTAAATCCAGGTGCTTCAGAAGAAGACCTACAAGCCACTCTAAACACCTTCGCAGAAGCATACGAGAAGCTCGGCCTGTCATTGAACATCCAGTCCAACCCCCTGCCAAGAAGCAGGAATATTGCATTCAAATCACTCCTGACAGATGGCCATCCAGCCTCTGCTTAAAAGCTTCCAATGAAGGAGCCTCCACCACACTCCCTCCGGGGCAGAGAGTTCCACTGCTGAACGGCTCTCGCAGTCAGGAAGTTCTTCCTAATGCATGACCTGTCTCCTGGCCGGTGGAATGTTGTGGGGCTGCTCCTGCTTGTTGGTCCAATTGTTGTGGACTTAGCGAAGGGAATCCAGGGCTTGGGCCTCCCCTTGAGGCGGAGAACAGGAGAGACCGGCTTCCCCTCCCTGGACTCACCAGACTGAGATAACAGAAGAATCGTATGGGCACAATGGAGACCCCGGGGACGCAGTGGGTCAAACCGCTGAGTGGCTGAACTTAGTCACTGAAAGGTTGCAGGTTTGAATCCAGGGAGTGAGGTGAGCTCCTGCTGTTTGCCCCAGCTCCTGCCAACCTAGCAGTTTGAAAACATGCAGATGTGAGTAGATCAATAGTTTAGCCACAGACAGGGGCGGCTCAACCCTTACGCAAAGTAAGCATTCGCAGTAGAGTTGATAGACCTTGACATTTGGGAGTTGTACTTGCTGGGATTTATAGTTCACCTACAATCAAAGAGCATTCTGAACTCCACTAAGGATGGGATTGAACTAAAGTTGGCACACAGGACTCCCCTGACCAACAGAAAACACTAGAAGGGTTTGGTGGGCACTGACCTTGAGTTTTAGGAGTTGTAGTTCACCTAGAATCATAGAATCTTAGAATCATAGAATCAAAGAGTTGGAAGAGACCTCCTGGGCCATCATCCAGTCCAACCCCATTCTGCCAAGAAGCAGGAATATTGCATTCAAATCACCCCTGACAGATGGCCATCCAGCCTCTGCTTAAAAGCTTCCAAAGAAGGAGCCTCCACCACACTCCCTCCGGGGCAGAGAGTTCCACTGCTGAACGGCTCTCACAGTCAGGAAGTTCTTCCTCATGTTCAGGTGGAATCTCCTCTCTTGTAGTTTGAAGCCTACCTCCAGAGAGCACTGTGGACTCAAACCATGATGGATCTGGACCAAACTTGGCACTGATACTCAACATACCCAAATGTAAACACTGGTGGAGTCTGGGGAAAATAGACCTTGACATATGAGAGTTGTAGTTCCTGGGATGTATAGTTCACTTACAATCAAAGAGCATTCTGAACTCCACCAAGGATGGAATTGAACCAAATAGGGCACACAGAACTCCCACGACCAACAGAAAATATGTATCAGTGATTGGTTGGGGGGAACCAAAATAATGTTTGCTTACTATTGAAAATTACCTAGGGCCACCTCTGTCCACAGATGCAGGCAAAACGTCAGGAGACAATAGGAACCCACAAGAAACACGTGGACACTTTCAAGAGGAAGGAGGAAACCACGGAAACAAACACAATCTGGCCACCAGCATTTAAAAACACGAATCAAGGAACATGAAAGTCACTGCAGACGACTTCAGCCAGAGAAGTCAGCCAGAGCAGAGCACATGATGAACCAGCCTGGACACAGCATATTATTTGAGAACACAGAAATGCTGGACCACACCAACAACCACCATGTCAGACTACACAGAGAAGCCATTGAGATCCACAAGAAGCATGTGGACAATTTCAACAGAAAGGAAGAGACCATGAAAATGAACAAAATCTGGCTACCAGTATTAAAAAACTCTAAAATTACAACAGCAAAACAGCAGAGAGGAAACAACCAGGCACATCTTAACACCTCTCAACAAAAGGTTTTCCCAGGCTCAGCCAGGCCTTCAAATGCTAATGAAGGTGGTCAGTTGGAACATTATTTATTATTTATTTACTTTATTTGTATACCGCTGTTCTCAGCCCTTAGGCGACTCACAGCGGTTACATTCCCACCTAGCTCCAGCAGACAAGAGTTCCTTGTCCCACCCTGGTCTTTCCACAGATATATAAACCCATTTTCCTAGTTCCAACAGACCTCATTCCTCTGAGGATGCTTGCCATAGATGCAGGTGAGATGTCAGGAGAGAATGCCTCTACAACATGGCCATACAGCCCGAAAAAACCCACAAGAACTTAGTGATTCCAGCCATGAAAGCCTTTGACAACCAAGCACAGCTTAACACCCCTCAACAAAAGATTCCCCCAGGCTCAGCCAGGCCTTCAAATGCTAATGAAGGTGGTCAGTTGAAACATTCCCACCTAGCTCCAGCAGAGAAGAGCTCTTTGCCCCACCCAGCCATTCCACAGATATATAAACCCATTGTCCTAACTCCAACAGACCTCACTACCTCTGAGGATGCCTGCCGTAGATGCAGGCGAAACATCAGGAGAGAATGCCTCTAGAACATGGCCCTATAGCCCGAAAAAACCAACAAGAACCTAGCATTTAAAAACTCTGAAATCAGGACAGTAAAGTAAGAAAGAGCAACAGGGGAATTCCAGCCAGGAATCAATCAGGGCCAGCTAACCACCTCCCAACCAAGGATTCCCCCAGGCAGGAAGCAGCCAGGCTTTGAAGCTGGAAGGCCATTCAGTGCTAACCAAGGTGGTCTATTGCAGCCCTGAGTCTCTGTGGGGAGGGAGCTGGACAGGCCAGGTTGTAAACAAAGTCTGATGATGATTAGGTTCTTGTGGGTTTTTTCGGGTTCTTGTGGCCATGTTCTAGAGGCATTTTCTCCTGACGTTTCGCCTCCTCAGAGGTAGTGAGGTGAGGATGCTTGCCATAGATGCAGGCGAAACGTCAGGAGAGAATGCCTCTAGAACATGGCCATATAGCCCGAAAAACCACAAGAACCTAGTGATTCCAGCCACGAAACATATGATGATGATTGTTGTTGTTGTTATGGCTTGGGAATGGAGGGGAGGCCCAGAGCCGGACACGAGTGGACTTGGGTCTCAAGGGGAGACCCCTTCTTGACCTTTCCTGTGGGCACCTTAACAACACTCGGGAAGGTGGAAAGAAAGCCGGGTTGCGGAGAGATGGAGCTGTCCACGCGCGGACTCCCACTCCCACGCCTCCCCTTACCGTAGTGGGGGGAGTGGGGCGAGGAGAGGTCGGAGAGGAGGGCGGCCAGCTGGCAGTGGTTGCGTTGCCGGAGGGCGAAGGTCAAGCTCAGTGGGTGGGAGGGCGGGACGCGGCCCACGGAGCGCCATCCTTCGGGGACCCTGCCACGGGGGGAATGGGAGAAAGGGGTCTGCGGTGAGGAGAGCCTCCCACGGAGGAAGGAAAAGGGGTCTCCCTGCCCTCCCCCTCCCCTCCCCCTCTACTGACCGGAAGAGCTGGTCAGGCTCGGGCGCCCACAGCCGCGGGTGGGCCAGGCAGAAGGCTCCGCTCAGGCTCAGCAAGGTCACGAAGAGGCAGGCGTGGGGAAAGGGACCCCACGGATCCCCGAGAGCCCTCCTGCCCATGGCGCCTCTGCTTCAAGGGAGACCCCAGTCACGCGTGGGGAAAGAAAGAAAGGAAGGAGAATGGGAAAGGAGGTCACGCGGCTCAGAGTCACGCCAAAGCCATTCTAGACCACGCCTGCCTGGTGGAGATCATGAGTGGGATGGGCCAGCTTGGGACCTCCTTCCCTCCCTCCCTTCCTCCCTCCTTCCTAACAGAATGGTGGGAGTTGGAGTCCAAAACACCTGGAAGGAGGGAGGGAGGGAGGGAGGGAAGGAGGTCCCAAACCAACCCACGCGTGAGGCAGATCATTCCTTTTTCCCGACTTGAGTCGCACCTGGCCTGAGAGACTGGGCCATCTGCAAGGACCTTCCCCAAGGGATGTTTGGATGTTGTCCCATCCTTGTGGGGCAGGGGGGAGCTTCTCTCGTGTCCCCTTTGCATGGGAAGCTGGAGCTGACAGAGGGAGCTCATCCACACACTCTCCAGTTCCAAACCTCCAACCTGTGGGTCTGAAGACCTCCTGCCCGCACCAGGGTTGGACCTATGATAACAGGGAGTTCCTGCAGAGCAGTGGTCCTCCACCTGTGGTTCTCCACCCAGGTGTGTTGGCCTCCCACTCCCAGAAATCCCCACCAGGTTAGGAATTCTGGGAGTTGAAGGCCAACACACCTGGGGAGAACCACAAGGTGAGAACCACTGCTGTAACTCATATTGATATCATCAGAGGTGACCCCCCCCCCCAGGACGGTTCAAATCCAAGGAATTCATAGTTTTACCAAGGACACCAGGTTGGAATGATCCCACAATCCCCGATCTCTCCCCCATGTGCTAACCTATGGGTCTTTCCATGGCCCCACATGGCAAGCCCCCTGGAATCCACACTTTATGGACTTTTCTATGAAGTCAACTTTTCATGGACTTTGGATCCTAGAGCAACCCTTACGAACTTTCATGATATTTCACTGATCTCTATGAACCTTTGGTGGACTCTGGAGGGAGGGAGGGCTGATAGGACTCCCTTGACCTTGCGTGGTTCATCTCTTATGATCTCCTTGTATGTTCCCTTCTCCCATTATAGGTGTGTATCTCTATATTTATGAAATCCCACCTGAGCTCTGCGAGTGCAGCTTTTTTCTGAATGAAGCAGAGAGCGTTTGAGGTCTGGAACATCTGTAGGGATACCGAGGAGCTTGTTTATAAAGCTATTGTCCTCCAAACTCTGCTTTACGCTTGTGAGACGTGGACTGTCTACAGACATCAACATTGACACTGAAATGCAACATTGCCTGAGCTCTGCGAGTGCAGCATTACTCCGAACAAAGCAGAGAGTTTGAGGACTGGGACATCCACAGGGAGACCAAGGCGCTTGTTTATAAAGCTATTGTCCTCCCCACCCTGTTATACGCCTGCGAGACATGGACTGTCTACAGACATCAACATTGACACTGAAATGCAACATTGCCTGAGCTCTGCGAGTGCAGCTTTTTTATGAAGAAAGCAGAGAATGTTTGAGGACCGAGACATCCTTAGGGAGACCAAGGCGCTTGTTTATAAAGCTATTGTCCTCCCAACCCTGCTATACGCCTGTGAGACGTGGACTGTCTACAGACATCAACATTGACACTGAAATGCAACATTGCCTGAGCTCTGCGAGTGCAGCATTACTCCGAACAAAGCAGAGAGTTTGAGGACTGGGACATCCACAGGGAGACCAAGGCGCTTGTTTATAAAGCTATTGTCCTCCCCACCCTGTTATACGCCTGCGAGACATGGACTGTCTACAGACATCAACATTGACACTGAAATGCAACATTGCCTGAGCTCTGCGAGTGCAGCTTTTTTCTGAATGAAGCAGAGAGCGTTTGAGGTCTGGAACATCTGTAGGGATACCGAGGAGCTTGTTTATAAAGCTATTGTCCTCCAAACTCTGCTTTACGCTTGTGAGACGTGGACTGTCTACAGACATCAACACTGACACTGAAATGCAACATTGCCTGAGCTCTGCGAGTGCAGCATTACTGCGAACAAAGCAGAGAGTGTTTGAGGACTGGGACATCAACAGGGAGACCAAGGCGCTTGTTTATAAAGCTATTGTCCTCCCCACCCTGTTATACGCCTGCGAGACATGGACTGTCTACAGACATCAACATTGACACTGAAATGCAACATTGCCTGAGCTCTGCGAGTGCAGCTTTTTTATGAAGAAAGCAGAGAATGTTTGAGGACAGAGACATCCTTAGGGAGACCAAGGCGCTTGTTTATAAAGCTATTGTCCTCCCAACCCTGCTATACGCCTGTGAGACGTGGACTGTCTACAGACATCAACATTGACACTGAAATGCAACATTGCCTGAGCTCTGCGAGTGCAGCATTACTCCGAACAAAGCAGAGAGTTTGAGGACTGGGACATCCACAGGGAGACCAAGGCGCTTGTTTATAAAGCTATTGTCCTCCCCACCCTGTTATACGCCTGCGAGACATGGACTGTCTACAGACATCAACATTGACACTGAAATGCAACATTGCCTGAGCTCTGCGAGTGCAGCTTTTTTATGAAGAAAGCAGAGAATGTTTGAGGACCGAGACATCCTTAGGGAGACCAAGGCGCTTGTTTATAAAGCTATTGTCCTCCCAACCCTGCTATACGCCTGTGAGACGTGGACTGTCTACAGACATCAACATTGACACTGAAATGCAACATTGCCTGAGCTCTGCGAGTGCAGCATTACTCCGAACAAAGCAGAGAGTTTGAGGACTGGGACATCAACAGGGAGACCAAGGCGCTTGTTTATAAAGCTATTGTCCTCCTAACCCTTCTATATGCCTGTGAAACGTGGATTGTCTACAGACGTCACATGCAACTCCTGGAACGATTCCATCAGCGCTGCCTCCGGAAAATCCTGCAAATCTCTTGGAAAGACAAGCGGACAAATGTCAGCGTGCTGGAAGAAGCAAAGACCACCAGCATTGAAGCGATGGTCCTCCGCCATCAACTCCGCTGGACCGGCCACGTTGTCTGGATGCCCGACCACCGTCTCCCAAAGCAGTTGCTCTACTCCGAACTCAAGAATGGAAAACGGAATGTTGGTGGGCAGGAAAGGAGATGTAAAGATGGGCTCAAAGCCAACCTTAAAAACTCTGGCATAGACACTGAGAACTGGGAAGCCCTGGCCCTTGAGCGCTCCAGCTGGAGGTCAGCTGTGACCAGCAGTGCTGTAGAATTTGAAGAGGCACGAATGGAGGGCGAAAGAGAGAAACGTGCCAGGAGGAAGGCACGTCAAGCCAACCATGACCGGGACCGCCTTCCGTCTGGAAACCGATGCCCTCACTGCGGGAGAACATGTGGGTCAAGAATAGGGCTCCACAGCCACATACGGACCCACCCTGGAGGATTATCCTACTCGGACAACGAAGGCTCGCCTAAGTAAGTAAGTAAGTAAGTAAGTAAGAGTTGTCAAAGTTTGCTGGTGCTTGATTCCCAGGGGAAAGATGTCTTCAAATGCTATTTGCGTGGAGACCAAGGTGGGAAGCTCCATTTCCCCATCCAACTTGCAGAGGCAAGAGGCCCGATCGCTTTGCTTGCCTCTCAGCCTCACCACCTCTTACCTAAAGTAGGTGAGTAATCATAGACTCCTAGAGTTGGAAGAGACCTCATGGGCCATCCAGTCCAACCCCATTCTGCCAAGAAGCAGGACAACTGCATTCCAAGCACCCCGACAGATGGCCATCCAGCCTCTGTTTAAAAGCTTCCAAAGAAGGAGCCTCCACCACACTCCGGGGCAGAGAGTTCCACTGCTGAACAGCTCTCACAGTCAGGAAGTTCTTCCTAATGTTCCTCCTTTCCTGTAGTTTGAAGCCATTGTTCCATGTCCTAGTCTCCAGGGCAGCAGAAAACACACTGGCTCCCTCCTCCCTATGACTTCCCTCACATATTTATACATGGCCCTCATCATGTCTCCTCTCAGCCTTCTCTTCTTCAGGATAAACATGCCCAGCTCCTTAAGCCGCTCCTCATAGGGCTTGTTCTCCAGACCCTTCAAACTACAAGAGAGGAGATTCCATCTGAACATGAGGAAGAACTTCCTGACTGTGAGAGCTGTTCAGCAGTGGAACTCTCTGCCCCGGAGGGAGTGTGGTGGAGGCTCCTTCTTTGGAAGCTTTTAAACAGGCTGGATGGCCATCTGTCAGGGGTGATTTGAATGCAATATTCCTGCTTCTTGGCAGGGGGTTGGACTGGATGGCCATGAGGTCTCTTCCAACTCTTTGATTCTATGATTCATATTTGAGTCGCCCTCCTCTGGACACATTCCAGCTTGTCAATATCTCTCTTGAATTGTGGTGCCCAGAATTGGACACAATATTCCAGGTAAAGTGGTCTAACCAAGGCAGAAGAGAGCATGAGGAGCATGACCTCCCTGGACCTAGGCACCAGGCTCCTATTGATAATTGATAATATCTTCTCTCCGTGTCTTTAGAGCCATAGCTGACCTGTGACTTGCACTCCCGACATATAAAATGCAATATAGCCTTGCAACAGTTTATTGTCGAAGGCTTTCATGGCCGGAATCACTGGGTTGTTGTAGGTTTTTTTTTGGCTATATGGCCACGTTCTAGAGGCATTCTCTCCTGACGTTTCACCTGCATCTATGGCAAGCATCCTCAGAGGTAGTGAGGATGCTTGCCATAGATGCAGGCGAAACATCAGGAGAGAATGCCTCTAGAACATGGTCACATAGCCCCCAAAAAAACCCTACAACAACCCTTGCAACAGTTGTCTGTACTCTTGATTTGGGTAATCCGTTTGGATTATTGCAAGACATTTATGTGAGTCAAAAATGTTGTATGTCTAAAGTTCCACCTTGTCTCCTGTGCTATACTAATTATATAGTATAACATAGCATAAGTGTTAGGAATCAGCCCGTGTTTGTGTTTCAGGATCCTGATGTGGGAAATGGTGAGGGAAATGATAGTGCTGAGGCTGAGGTACAAGATTGAGATGGTTTGGTCAATGATTTTCAGGCAGACAATGACAGAGAGGCCCCAGTGCAAAGGGCAGTTTCTCATGAGAATATCCCCGCTGGGCCTAGCAATGGTGTCTCACTCCCTCTCTGGGTGAGCTCTCAAGATTTGGGTTTGGAAAACAATCTGACACCTGGGAATTGTAATGAGCAGCCAGATAGGGAGTTGACGAATAGGCGGCTGGAGATTAGCCAGGATCCGCAACAATCTCAGTGTTTACATCGCTCCGAAAGGCTTCGTCTGATAAAGGGAAAATGTGGGGGGAAGCAAAACCAATTTCTGAGTTTTGGGATACAAGGTTTGCCTCAAGGGGAAACCTGTTAGATCAGGCATTGTTTGGAAATCAAGTTCATGTGCCATGGAAATCCTGTTCAAGGGGTCTCTTGTTCCTGTGGAGTTTTTTAGCCTTTTGGATTGTCTTTGCATCTTGTTGATTCCTGTCTGGATCAATGCTGTCTAGGATTGCTTTTTATATCTGGTGTGGGCATTGCTTTTTGTTACTACCTTTTATGGACTTATCACTTTTTGGAACTTTCTTATTTTCTTACAAGCATTTATCTCATCTGGCTATTTACTAAATTTCAATAAAAGAAGATTTGTTTCTTCACTCTTCGTGTGGTGTGTTTTACAGTCAGAGGGCTTTTTCCTGACCTGGAGTGCAGCAATAATATTATATATATTGTATATTCATATAATATTTATAATATTATAATGCAATACAATATAATACTACTAATAATAATTTGTTGTTCATTCGTTCAGTCGTCTCCGACTCTTCGTGACCTCATGGACCAGCCCACGCCAGAGCTCCCTGTCGGCCGTTACCACCCCCAGCTCCCTCAAGGTCAGTCCAGTCACTTCAAGGATGCCATCCATCCATCTTGCCCTTGGTCGGCCCCTCTTCCTTTTTCCTTCCACTTTCCCCAGCATAATTGTCTTCTCTAGGCTTTCCTGTCTCCTCATGATGTGGCCAAAGTACTTCAACTTTGTCTCTAGACTAATAATAATACAATATTATAATATTATATTTTATATTACATGCAATATTACTAAAATTATTATCTTGTAAGCCGCTCTGAGTCCCCTTCGGGGTGAGAAGGGCAGCATATAAATGTCGTAAATAAATAAATAAATAAATGTGGGCGAAATGTCAGGAGAGAATGCTTCTGGAACATGGCGAAGACTCTCAGCAACCCAGAGATTCCAGCCAGGAAAGCCTTCCTTTGACAACATCAATAACAGAAAGGAAGGAAGCGTGGTCTGTACAAAGACGGTGTGGTTTATTAAGGCATTATTATTATGAGGATGAGGAGGAGGATGAAGAGGACTTCTTCAAGAACAATGGTTGGCACTTGGGGCGCCGGCAAAGGGGGGAGGAGGCGGGGAAGCAGCCCTCCCCCTCTGCCCCTCCCCGCCCCACAGGTGGCAATAAATAAAGGGGCAGCAAGGTGGCATTTGGGGGCTGGCAAGGCGCTCCCAGGCCCGGCCACAAGGGGTGCAAGAGGGCGGGGTTCCTGGCTGCAGCACACCTGAGCACTAGGCGGGGCCCCACCTTGCAAGTCCCCCTTTCTCGCTCTCAAGAGCCTCTTCTTTCTCGCCCCCCCCCCCCAATTGAGTGTCTTTCTGTCCCTCGTCCTGCCCATCAAAGCAGGGCTGCTTCGCCCCATTTCACCCATTACAAGGGTCGGGTGGGGTAAGGTGGGGGGAGGAAATGGGGTGCTTCATTATTGCTATGGTGAGTACCAGGACCCACTTCCTCCCCGCTGCTGCCCACCCGCCCCCCAGAGCTGGGCCCGCTTATTGCACAATGGATGGGGATCTTGGGGGTCTTCCAGGAAGGGGGGGTTGCTCCCGTTGTGGGAGTAGCACCAAGAGGGGGATTCTGGGAAGAAGAGGGCCAGAGTCTCTCCAGGGTGGCCGTGACACCCAGGGTGCCGCATGGGGCGCTTCGTGTGTGTGCGTGTGTGTGCGATGCCAGAGTGAGCGAGCAAAGTGAGCAAGGGCCTTGGAGAAGCCATTGGGTAACCAGCCCCATACCCTTTGCTGAGGCTCTCCATGCCGAGGGGGCCGGGCAGGGCTTCCCTTGCAACAGGAGACCCCCAAGGTCTGCCCTGGAAGAAGGCAGGCTGCCCACTGGAGGAAATGGGGTGACGCTGTGTGTGTGTGTGTTTGTGGGGTGCAGCAAGGCCTGGTGTGAGGAGCGGCCACCTCCTCTGTGCATGTGGGGATGGACGGACACGGGACCGGGAATACGGTGTGCCCTACAAAGTATGTCCATACGTGGCTAGGTGGGGCCTCTCCCTCCGGACCCTCAGCCCCAATTCAGTCCAGGGATGACAGTTTCTAGGGAAGGGAGTAAATGAGAGGTTTTACCGCTCCAAGTGAACCCCCCCCCCAATGTTCCCCACAAGGGACCCTGTTGTGTCCCTGTTGTCGCCCATGGTTCAAGAGACGGAGAGAGTACGGGCGCACAGGGGTCCGCTAGATGCGCAGCTCTCCCTCCTCGTTGGCGGCAGCCACAGCCTCGGTGGTGATGGCGGAGGCGGAGGGCCCCTGGGAGACGCCGAAGGGGGAGACCATGGGGGAGCGGGCGGCCAGAGGGGAGAGCGAGGGGGAGAAGCTGGGGGACATGGCAGCCGAGGAGGAGAGGGAGCCCTCCTGGCTGAGGGGTGAGCGGCGCAACGCAGCCGACAGGTGCGGGAAGGCCCGCCCCACAGCCGGCTTGGGCGGCACTGACTTGGCCCCTGGGTGCGCCACGGAGGTGATGAGGGGCGGCGGGTCGATGCGGGGCTTGGGCTTGGCCGGGAAGGGCTTCCGCAGGGAGTTCTCATCCTTGAGGCGGGCGATCTCCGTGAAGACGCTGGCCAGCGGCTGGAACTGGGGGCACCAGTTGAGGAGGTAGTCCCAGTTGTAGCTGCCACGCAGCTCCTCATCGCTGGCCACAATGGCCGTCAGGGAGCCGTCCATGCAGGGCTTCCCATCCTCGGGGAAGGCGTAGTCCTTGACGGCGCTGCCGGAGGAGGAAACGCTCAGTCCGCAGCCACCAGAGCCCAGGTAGGGGCCGCCGCTGCCACCGCCCCTCTCATCCCGGTAGAGCTGCGAAGACTGCCCGGGCAGCAGCAGGCCTGGCCCCTTGCGGCTCTTGAACCAGTGGCTAGCGTCCAGGGTGGCGGGCTCACAGGAAACATCCGAAAGGCGGTCGGCATCGGTCTGGATGCCGGAGTCTGGCCCGCGAGCGGCCATGTGCTCCTGCAGGGAAGAGGTGACGCTGGACATGCGGGGGCACTCGTTGATCATCCGGATTTCGTCGTCTTCTGCTGCCTCTGCCGAACCCCGTCCGCTCGAGTGGGAGGGGTCCAGGGAGCCCCCCCGCGTGGCATAAGGGCCAGCCACATCTGTGCCGTAGCCAGGCAGGGCCTCGTGGTAGAGGCAGTCTCCTCCTGGCAGCACAGGATCCCCGTGGCCTAACTTCTGCAAAGAGCCGCCCTGCAAGTGTGCCGGATTCCCCACCTCCTTGCGGCCACCACCACGGCCTTGCCGAGAACGGACAAGAACCAGCACAATGGCCACTGCAGCCAGCACCACCACCACTCCCAGGGAGGCGGCCACGGCAACCACCAGCAGCAGATTGAGGTCGGTGGCCAGGCCAAAGGCGGTGTGGGTGACGTCGATGGTCACTCGGGTAGAAGCTGAGCGAGAGGCTGGCAGAGGCCCATGGGCCTGGACTTCCAGCACCAGTTCCCGCGGCTCCCTCTTGGGGGCCCCACCGGAAGGGCCCTGGCTGTCCATGCGCAGGTAGATGGTGCCGCTGGTCCGGTTGACCCCAAAGAAAGGGGAAGGCTTGGTTAGTGTGTAGAGCACTACCCCGTCAGGACCCTCGTCCTCATCGGTGGCCACCACCTGCCCGATGCTCTGCCCCCGACGCGCTCCCTCCGGGATCTCAAAGTTGAAGGTGGGGCGGAGGAAGACTGGGTCGTATTCATCCTCCCCTGTCACCAGGACACGCACAGTGGCAGTGGCCGAGGCGTTCCCTGCGTCGGTGGCCTGTACCAGCAGCTGTGAGGCCTTGCTGCGCTCGTAGTCGAAGGGGAGGCGGGCGCTGAGCTCCCCGGAGGTGCTGTTGAGGGCAAAGGCCTGCCAGCCCAGGGTGGGGAGCAGGGAGTAGCGCAGCACCCCAAAGGCGCCTACATCTGCATCCACGGCACGCACCCTGGTGACCAGGCTCCCGGGGGGCTGATTCTCCCTCACGCTGGCTGTCAGGACCTCGAGCGGGAAATATGGGAGGTTGTCGTTTACATCTTTCACTTCAACGGTCACAGAGGCCAAGGCAAAGTGCCCGTTCGCCCCATCTGAGGCTTGAACAACCAGCGTGTGCTGGTTCTGGACCTCGCAGTCCAGTGTCTCAGCCAGTCGCAGTGCCCCGGTGGATGGGTGGAGGTGGAAGAGTCCCCCGGGGTCGCCGGAACTGACACTGTAGTGCACCTGGCCGTGGGAACCAGAGTCTGGGTCATGGGCAGCCACCCGCAGGAGCTCTGTGCCCGGAGCGGCCGTCTCACTCACTACAGTGTGGTAGGCAGAGCGGTCAAAGGCCGGTGGGTTGTCATTGACATCCAGAATACCAAGGAGGACGGGCACCAGGGCACTGTGCTGTGGCACACCTCGGTCGGACGCAGCCACTGTCAGGTTGTAGAGAGCCACAGCCTCAAAGTCAAGGGGCTCGACCAGGACCAAGGCACTGGCACCTCCAGCCCGGCCCTCCAATTGGAAGGCATGACCACTATTCCCGCTGACGATGGTGTAGTCTAGGGCGGCGTTGTCCCGTGCTATGTCTGCATCGGTTGCTTCCAGGGTGAGCAGAGTGGTGCCGGGGCGCAGGTCCTCAGGCACACTGGAGTTGTAGTGCGGCTTCAGGAACTGCGGGCTGTGGTCATTCAGGTCCAGCACTTGGATCTGGACGGTGGCCCAGGAGGAGAGGCTGGGCTGGCCCCGGTCCCGGGCCTCAACCCGGATGTCCAGCGTGGAGTGCCGTGGCTCCAGTCGCAGGGGTTGAGTAGTGAACAGGGTGCCTGGAAAGCAGGAAAAGGGGTAGTTAGGATTTGGTGAAGGCAGGAAAGCTGGGGCTGACCCATCAGGTGTGCCACTCCGTACCCCTGGACTGGTCCAGGAAACATGCATATTTCCCTTAAGCATGCCTGTGTCCTTCTCCAGGTGCAGCAGAGTGGTATCTGCAGCACCCCCGCCTCCCCAGCACTGAGAGTCCCTGCAAGTCACTAGGGAGCCGCTGAGACCCTTCCTCCTCTCCAAGGCCACAAAATGAAGCCATCAATCCTGAGATCCCCTGCAGCTGACTGGAGGCCACATTGCTGGGTCAGTCACTCCATGTCTGGGGCAGGGCAGGCATATCAGGGGTACTGCATATTCCCACAAAGGAGAGGAGGGTTCTGATGGGGTGTCAGAGATGGCAGCCAAGGAAGTTGGGAGGGGAGAGGTTACCAAGACAGTTCTCAAGGGCCACGGGGAGAATGTCCAGGATGGGCAGTTCTGTGCCTCCCTGGTCAGAAGGGGTCAGGGAGAGGAAAGGCTGGAGCCTGGCTACACCCCTCCCAATGATCTAGGGAAGGCCTAAACACACCCCTTGATTGTCCCCTGCCCTTCGTACCATTGCTGGCGTGGATGGAGACCGTGTGGCTTGGCGTGGCCAGTCGGTAAGTGACCTCCCCATTGGTGCCAGAGTCGAGGTCTGTGGCACTGAGGCTCAGGATGGAGGTTCCCACTGGAGTGTGTTCTGGCAACAGCACCTGTGGACACAGCACATGAGGAGTTATTCACGGATGTTTAGCTTCTGCCAGGCAGTAGTCATTGAGGACCTGAAGGGGTAGCCCATTGGCACAGAGAAACCCAACCCTCTAAGTGTCCCTTCAAAGGCCCCTTGCCCTACACCTGGGCAGAAAAGGCATAACCCAGGAGAGCCACCCAGTCCCCCAACACAAAGGAACACTGGATCATCTGCGGGGGCAGGATACCTGATACAGGGGCTGGGTGAAGGCAGGGGCATTGTCGTTCACATCCTCCACCAGCACCGTGAGGTTGGCCTCCGTCTCGTGCTGCAGGTCCGAAGTGCGGATGGTCAGGCTGTAGCGGCTGTGCTGCTCGTAGTCCAGGGGGCCCGTCAGAGTGATCCGGCCGCTGTAGCGGAGGATGCCAAAGGTCCCGGTGGTGCTGCTCTCCAGTGAGAGCACATAGGACAGCTGCGGCCCACAGTCCACATCGTTCCCAGTCACCATGGTGATTTCGGTGCCCAACAAGGCATCTATGAGAACATGTAGGAGAGCGCAGTGAGGGACAAGACGTCCTCCATGGAAGGTGAAGCCCATTGGCTTAAGGGCCCTTCAAAGGAAGACACTATGTTCTGGAGCAGAGCAACGAGTGGGTTATTTCTGGGACTCCCAGTCAGTCATGGGACTCATGTCACAAAAATATTATTGCAGATTTGATAAATATGAATTTAATATACGTGTGGGAGTGGATGGAAGACTGGAAGGATATAGGGATGGAGATAATATTTGTGGAGACACCAGTATAATATTAAGGCCTGCAATTACTAACTACCTGCTTGCTGGACTGTAATTAAAAGTTGCTAATGAGAACTGAAAAGTAAACTGTGATAAGAATTGTGACAATGATTATTTCAAGTTAAGGAAATGTTTACAACATTTCTTATGTTAAGAAGGAAGTCAACATAAGATCAACACCAATCAAGAAGATCAACATCTGGCCAGGAAACTGAAATGGTGTCAGGATGGAAGATATCTATTTATTTATTTACCACTTTGGGATGACATCAGAAGAAAATTCCTATAAAAGACTCGATCTAATAATGCTCAAAGTGTGGCAGACCTGAGGAGTCTGGTTCACCCGCCATGCTCTGCTCCATGGGAAGGAGAGAGACGGTGTATTTGGAGAGTGTCAGATATGCTCTGGGAAAGCATGATTCTGGACATTTTGGGGCTTCTTTCTCAAGGGAAGAGGAAGAAGTGTGCTTTTGGAGTCTTGGATTTTGTGCAGGGAGTCAGGTTCTGCTTGGCACTGTGCTTAGGGAAAGGATGTATTTTGGAGTTTTGGAGTTATGGCATTATGAAAGTTTTGGAAATATGCATTGGCAAGCTGCAGGAAAGCAGGGTCTGGCCTAACAGGTGCTTCTCTAATCATGGGATATTTCTGGGATTCACTCCCATCCGATTCCTGACTGATTATAGCTGTGAGCAAAGGGAGGTAGGGTGACCATGGCATCCGCCCAAGGAGCCCTTTGATCCCCTCAATTCCCCTCAATCATACAGGTGATTTGCCATGGCCCTGGACTGGGCAACATGCAGGAGTCCTGACCCCTTTGGCCCTCTGCCTACTCACTCTCAGGCACCCGCACTTCCCAGGGCACAGGGATGGTGGGGCTGTTGTCGTTGATGTCCATCACCACCACGGTCAGCGTGGCTGAGCCCACCAGCGGAGGAGTCCCTCTGTCCGTCGCGGTCAGCACCAGCCTGTCAGGAGAAGAACAGGTATCTCAGGGGTCCGAGTGACTGACCAGTCAAGGTGGCCTGGTGAAGCCAAGGCCTGCCACAGGCCACGGCTTCCTCTCCCCACGCCATATATTATGAGGGGCAGGTGGGTTGGAGGGATGACTCCTCCCTGTGGCTTAAAGACTGGCAAGGGCAGAAAGGACTGACCGCGTTTGGGCCCAAATCTCCCTGTCCAGGATGGCTGCCGTGGTGATGGCCCCGGTCTGGGCGTGAATGTGGAACAGCCCATTCATGGGCAGTGTCTGGTCGATCGTGTAGGTCACCTGCCCATTGGGGCCCTGGTCCAGGTCGTCTGCCATCACCTGCAACGAGAGGTATGGGTTCTCTGGGGCCAGGGGGAGCCCTGCTTGAGTTCCTGCCCAGCATCCCCCTTGGGCCCAAGGCAGGGCCAGGACCCCTTCACCCATCGACCCACAAGTCCCAAGGAAGTACCTGGATGACAGGTGAGTCGTACCCCTGGGCCTCCCAGATGAAAGCGATGTAGTTCTGCAGCTGGAAGCGGGGAGCGTTGTCGTTGAGGTCTTGCAGGTTGACGTTGACGGCCATGAAGCCGAAGGAGGAGGAGGACTCGGCCTGCAGCACCAGGCGCAACCGGGGACCCTGCTCAAAGTCCAGGCCGCTGGAGTTGTGGACGGTCACCAGGCCTGGGGGGGGGGTGAGTGGGAGAAAGAGAGGAAGAAGGGTCACTGGATGTGGATGCTGGGACTGTAGCGCAGCTGGCTGGAAGCCAGTTGCATTAAGATCACTACTGACCAAAAGGTCATGAGTTCGAAGCCAGCCCAGGTCGGAGTGAGCTGCCAACCAATTTGTGTAGCTTGCTGCCGACCTTTGCAGCCCAAAAGACAATTGCATCTGTCAAGTCGGAAATTTAGGTACCACTTATGCAGGGGAGGGTAATTTAACTAATTTACGACACCATAAAAATCTCCAGCAAACATGCAAAGAATGAGGAAGTACTTCATCAGTGTCATATTTGTTTCAATTCCATCATTGATGGAGTTCAGAATGCTCTTTGATTGTAGGTGAACTATACATCCCAGTAACTACAACGTGCATATGTCAAGGTCTATTTTCCTCCAAGAGCGCCTCAAGAGCGCCCCTGGGCAAAATCAATTCTACTGCAAAGGCTTACTTTGCGTAAGAGTTGAGCCGCCCCTGTCCCTATAGTTTGCTCCAGTAAGGGGCCTGGTTGTACCAATTGAAACTTCCAGGCTGTCTTCAAGGGCAGCCCCACGTAGAACGCATTGCGGTAGTCCAGTCTGGATGTAACCAAGGCATGGACCAGCGTGGCCAAGTCAGACTTCATGAGGTATGGTCACAGCTGGCGCACAAGTTTGAGTTGTGCAAAGGCTCTCCCAGGTTGCAACAAGTCGGGGACTGTGGCACAGCTGGCTGGGAGTCAGCTGCATTAAGATCACTACTGAGTTCGAAGCCAGCCCAGGTTGGAGTGAGCTTCTGGCCAATTTGTGTAGCTTGTTGTCGACCTTTGCAACCTGAAAGACAGTTGCATCTGTCAAGTAGGAAATGTAGGTACCACCTGTGTGTGGGGAGGCTAATTTAACTAATTTACGAGGCCATAAAACATCTCCAGCAAAAGCATGCGGGGAATGCGGAATGGACTTCATCAGTGTCGCAGATGGACGGTGAAGCAACAGTTGGAATGTTAAATAGCCTCTGGGTGTCTGTCTATATGTGTTGTGTGTCTCCGGCATTGAATGTTTGTCATATATATGTACATTGTAATCCGCCCTGAGTCCCCTGTGGGGTGAGGAGAAGGGCGGAATATAAATACTGTCAATAAATAAACAAATAAATTGAAGGTACGCAGCAATGAGAAAGGAACAGGCCGATTCCGCTCTCCCCGTGTCGGCCAGCCAGCCAGCCAGCACCGGCTGTGACAAAATAAACAGCTTTGTTTCTAAAACACAATTACAGAACAAGCCAACAATTCCAAGTCCAAAAAAGCCAATAAACAGCAGGAGCAGGAGCAAAATGAAACAACTGGACTGGAAAATCCAGCCAAGAGGAAGCACTTCCCTTTGGGGCCCGGGATTTGTTTGGCACGAGGCCCCTGGGGTCACCAACACAGGTCCCTCCTGCTCTTCAGTTGCCACAGAGACCGTTTCTTCATGTGAGAGTTGTTCAGCAGTGGAACTCTCTGCCCTGGAGGGAGTGTGGTGGAGGCTCCTTCTTTGGAAGCTTTTAAGCAGAGGCTGGATGGCCATCTGTCAGGGGTGCTTTGAATGCAATATTCCTGCTTCTTGGCAGAATGGGGTTGGACTGGATGATGGCCCAGGAGGTCTCTTCCAACTCTAGGATTCTATGAAGGCATGGTGGGAAGGACCTCCCGCCCCTACATGAGGATGGGTGTGTTGGAATTCTACCCCATACTGCCCAAGTCAATGAGGAACAGTTTAGTTAGTTTAGCACAGACCAAGGCAGTATTTCTCAAACTGGGGGTCGGGACTCCGGGGGGGGGGGGGGGGTCACGAGGGGGTATCAGAAGGGTCGCCAAACACCATCAGAAACACACAGTATGCTCTGTGGTCATGGAGGTTCTGTGTGAGAAGTTTGGACCAATTCTCTCATTGGTGGGGTTCAGAATGCTCTTTGATTGTAGGTGAATTATAAATCCCAGCAACTACAACTCCCAAATGTCAAGATTCTATTTTTCCCAAACTCCACCAGTGTTCACTTTTGGGTGTATTGAGTATCCTTGCCAATTTTGGTCCAGATCCATCATTGTTCGAGTCCACAGTGCTCTCTGGATATAGGTGAACTACAACTCCCAAACTCAAGGTCAATGCCCACCACATCCTTCCAGTTTTTTCTGTTGGTCTTGGGAATTCTGTGTGCCAAGACTGGTTCAATTGCCTCATTGGTGGAGTTCAGAATGCTCTTTGAATTTAAATGAACCATAAATCCTAGCAACTACAACTCCCAAATGACAAAATCAATCCTCCCCAACCCCTCCAGTATTCAAATTTGGGTGTATCGTTTTTTTGGGCCAAATTTTGTCCATGAACGAAAGTGCATCCTACATATCAGATATTTGCATCACGTTTTAAACATTTAACTGAGATGGATCCAGGATTGAAGGCGTCTATCATTCATTTACAACTTTGGGACAACATCAGCAGAATATTCGTATAAAAGACTCAGTCTAATAATGCTCAAAGTGTGGCAGACCTGAGGAGTCTGGTTCACCCGCCATGCTCTGCTCCTTGAGAAGGAGAGAGGTGGTGTACCTATGGAGAGTGACAGATTTGCAAGGGAACAGCCTGGTCACTTTGGGGCTTCTTTCTCAAGGGAAGAGGAAGGAGTGCACTTTTGGAGTCTTGGATTCTGTGCAGGGAGTCACGTTCTGCTGTATGGAAAACACAGATCTGGTCCTTGGCATTGTGCTTAGGGAAAGAAGTTCTGGCATTTCAGTGTTCTGAAGCTATGGCGTTATGGAAATTATGGAACTATACGTTGGCAGGCTGCAGGAAAGCAATGTCTGACCTAACAGGTGCTTCGTCAAAGAGGGAGAAAAGGACATGATAATATTTTGGATTCATGTGGATGAATGTTGAGTGAAAATGTAATTTCCCTTTGTTCGTTTGTTAGCCATGTAATTGTGAATCCAATGTAGTTGCATAGAATCTGTCTGTCTGTATGGCTAACGTCATTCTTGGTCTAAATGTTTTTCTGTCATCTGATCGACCCTCTCACATTGGAAATTGCAATCAAAGGAACCTATGCTTCAAAGTGATTGGAAAGTCATTCACGACACCTGAGCTGGGCTGGATCCGGAAGGCGCCCTTCTCATTCCCGCTGACGATGCTGTAGGCGATGCGGCCAGAGGAGCCAGTGCTGTGTGCGGCCGGGATGTTGACCACGGTGGTCCCTGCAGGGAAAGAGGGAGGGAGGGTGGACGGACAGCGGGATGGTCAGGCCGGCTTAGGGGGGAGGGAGGAAAGAATGAAGGAGGGGGGCTGCCCGAGGGAGGGGCCGTGCCTGGTGAGGGGAGCCCAGCTCCTCCTTGTCCGGTCATTTTCTCTGCCTGTAAAACTGCCCAGACCCTACTGAGCCTGCTTCTCCCAAGCCATGCTTTCACCCAAACGCACTGAACCACCACCACTTCCTGCCCTGTGAGCCAAGCTTGATGTCCCTTACAGGAAGCCGGCCACCATCTGCAAGTAAGGGTCGGTGACCAACGGTCAGGACTTCTGGGCTGTAGCATGTGTACATACCTGGAGCAGCGTTCTCGGGCAGGGCGACCTCGCTTGTACTCCGTGGGAAGCGCACACCGCGGGAGCCCTCCCCTTGCAGGTGGATCGTGACCACGCCGGTGGAGGACCGCGCCGGCTGGCCCAGGTCGCTGGCCAGTATGAACAAGGTGCGTTGCCGCTGGTTGAGGGTGGCCAGGGGCTGCAGCAGCTCAATGGCCCCCGTGTAGGTGTTGATGGAGAAGGCCGAGGCAGGGCTGGCAAAGCGGTACAGGATGGAGGCGTTGGCCCCGGCGTCGTGGTCCTCAGCCCGCAGAGTGGCCACCGCTCGTCTGGATGGCGTGTCGCGGGGCAGGGTTACGGCCAGAGGGCTGAGCGGGAAGGTGGGCGCGTGGTCATTGACATCCTGGACGGTGATGGAGATGCGTGCCATGGCGCTCCGGGGCGTGAGTGGGGAGGAGTCCACAGCCAGAGCCAGGAAGCTGTAGGCAGCCCTGCGCTCCCGGTCCAGCCGCTGCCTGCTGGTGAGGCGCCCTGTCTGTGGCTCCACCTCAAACATGCCCAAGGACTCATTGGCCAGGAAGTAGGACACGTGGCCGTTGGAACCCTCGTCAGGGTCTGTGGCCTCAAGTTGTAGCACAAGGGCTCCCACGGGAAGATCCTCGGGCACCTCACTGGCATAGGCCTCCTGCACAAAGGCGGGTGGGTTGTCGTTGAGGTCCAGCACCCGCACGTTCACCGTCATGCTTGCACAGCGAGGCGAGGGGCCGTGGTCACAGGCGCGGACCCCCAGCACATAACTGGCTGCTCGTTCCCGGTCCAGGCCTCGTGCCACAGACAGCTTGCCCGAGGCGGGGTCCAGGACAAAGTCTTCCTCGGGGTCTCCAGCTGCAGGAGGAAGGAAGTCCAGGAGAACAAGGCAGGAGCTGTAGCCTGGAGGTGGCAACACACTCCTAACACCCCCTCCCAGTATGTTCCTCAGTATTCCCAGTATGCTCCACAGCCCCCCTCCTTACATCCGTCGCGGGGTGTCCCTCACCTGCCAGATGGTAAGCCAGCCGGCCATTCTCCCCCGCATCATAGTCCGTGGCACGCAGAGTGACCAGCTCCACGTGGTCCTGGTTCTCTGGCACCTCCAAGGAGTACGCCTCGTTGGGGAAGGCGGGCGCATGGTCGTTCTCGTCCGTCACCAGCACACGCACGGTGGCCCTGGACTGGCGCGGGGGAAGCCCCTTGTCCTGAGCGTACACTGGCAGAGGAAGGAGGAGGCAGCTCTGTGGCTAGGAGCAGGGCAAGGTGGGCTGCCCAGCACACGTAGAAGTCTTCTCTCCAGGACTTCCACAAACATGTGGGCCATTTCCCCTGACTACGAATCTGGGATGGATGGGTCTGCGGATGCCCACGTCCCTTGACCATCAAACGCTGTCCTGCCCACCTCTGTGACCGCTGGGACTCTGACCCCTTCCATAAGAAAGACGATGGTCTGATGGTGCTAACGCACTCAAGCTCCATCTCTTTCAAAGTAGGGGGGGAAACCATTTGGTTCAGATCCATGGGGCACGCAGGGGTGTGGGAAGGCGGTGGGAGGGGGAGGGCCCTTTGCAAAGGGAAACTGACCCTCGGCAGCAGGCCTGGGCAACGTCTCTAACTTGGGGGCCACATGCTAGCACTCCCTGCTAAGAGGACTGGCTTCCTGGTGATGGAAGGAAGGGTGGGAGGAGGGAAGGAAAGGAGAAAAGGGAAAGGAAGGAGAGGAAAAGGGAAGGAAGGAAAGAAAGGGGAAAGGAAGGAAGGATGAAAGGGTGGAAGGGAAGGAAGGAGGGAGGGAGGAGAGAGGGGAAATGGAGGAAGGGAGGATGGAAGGAAAAAGGGAGAGGAGGAAAGGAGAGGGAAAAGAGGGAAGGAAGGAAAGACAAATGCGAAGGAAGGAAGGATGAAAGGTTGGAAGGGAGGGAGGGAGGGAGGAGAGAGAAGGAAGGAAGGGGAAAGCGAGGAAGGAAGGAGGAAGGAGAAAAAGGGAGAGAGGAAGGAGGGGGAAAGAGGGAGGGAGGGAGGAAGGAAACAAAGGGAAGGAAGGATGAAAGGGGAAGGGAAAGGAAGGGAGGGAAGAAGAAGGAAAAAGAGAAGGAAGGGAGGAAAAGGAGGGAAAGAGAAAGGAAAGAGAGAAAGGAAGGAAAGACAAAAGGAAAAGAAGGAGAAAGGAAGAGGGAAGGAGGAAAAAGGGAGAAGGGAAGGAGGAAAGGAAAGACAAAGGGAAGGAAGGAGGAGAAGGGAAGAGGAAAGGGAAAGAGGAAGGAAGGAAAATAAAGAAAGGATAGAATAAGGAAGAAAAGAAGGAAGGAAAATAAAGAGAAGAGTGAAAGAAGGAAGGACGAAAGGGTGGAAGGGAAGGAGGGAGGGAGGGAGAAAGAGGGAGGTAAGGAAGTAAGGGAAGAAGGAAGGAAAGAGAGAAGGAAGGAAAGACAAAAAGAATGAAGGAAGGAAGGTAGGAAGGAAGGAGAGGGAGAGAGGGAAGGATGAAGGAAAGAGAGAATGAAGGTGGAGGGAGGGAGGAGGGAAAGAAGGGAGGGAGGAAGAGAAGGATGGAAGGAAGGGTGGAAGGGAGTGGAGGGAGGGTGGAAAGAGAGAAGAAAGGATGAAAAGATGGGAAGGAAGAAAGAAGGGAAGGGAAGGAAGAGAGAGAAGGAAGGCAGAATAGGATGGTGAGAGAGAGGAGGGCCTGAGAAAAGAGCCCAAGGGGCCACATCCGGGTTTTCCCACACCTGCTCTACAGGAAGGAAAATAGATGTGACAGTGACATAACTGAAGGGGACACCCTCCCCCACACCCACCAAAATAGCTGAAGCTCTTGAAGAACTTTGGTGCCCCAGCTCAGTGTCACAGGCAATGCCTAAGCTGACGCTGGGGCACACCTGGAGTCGTGCTGGCCCCCCATTGCCAATTGTTCTGGGCCCAGCAGAAGGGAACCCTCTCCTAGAATGAATGGTTCCTTGCAGGGTCCAGTTCCCTCGCCCACCCTCCGCCCACGCCTTGGCCCCTTACCGGTCAGCAGGTGCTCTGCGCGCTCCTCGCGGTCCAGAGAGCGGAGGGTGCTGATCAGGCCTGTTTGGGGATCGATGGAGAAGTCTGCCCCGGAGATCCCTCCGTACAACACCTCCCCATTGGTGCCTGTGGAGAAATCCCGAGGGAGGAAGACCAAATTGTACCCTTGGGGACACGGTTCCTGGACCTCAACCATCATCGTCCAGCTAAAAGGGAACTCCCCTCCACCGCTGTTTGTGGGGATACTTTGGGATCAGGGTCATGGGGGGAGGGCGTTGGGGAGAGCAGAGGAGCCAGGAACGGGCTGCTGGTGTGGAAGATGTAAGGGGGGTGGTGGTGTTGCAGGTGAAGGTCAAGGGCCACAGAGTCTTTGTCCAAGGGGCCCCCAAGGTCAGGGGACTGATGTGGCCTCCTCTGTGGGGACGCACCCTCCTCCCCCTCCCCACTTGGGGAGCCTCCTCCTACACAGCGGCTGTGCCGGCCCCTTCCTCACCCAGGTCGCGATCCGTCGCGTGCAGCTGCAGGACGGGGACCCCTGAGGGCCGGTTCTCGGCCACTCGGGCCTCGTAGCTGCTGCGCTCAAAGGCCGGCGCCTCGTCGTTCACATCCAGCACGTGCACCGAGAGCAGCTGCGTGGCCGAGCGCCGAGGGGAGCCGTGGTCCGTGGCCACCACCGTCAGGTTGTGCTGGGACACCTCCTCCCGGTCCAGCGGCCGCACGATGGACAGCACCCCTGCGAGGAGCACAAAGAGCGGTCAGAGTGCCTCCTTCCTTCCTTCCTTCCTTCCTTCCTTCCTTCCTTCCTTCCTGCTCAGACCAAGGCCTCTGGGGCGGTCATCTGGCCGGACGTGACCTTGGTGGGCCGGAGCCAGGCGCTGCCTCCAGATGGTTCCTTCCTGTTTCTCCCCAGAGCTATTCTTGCAAGAGGCAGTGTTGGTTTTGGCCAGGCCGTCGTCCGAGTGGGAGGTTTATTTTTATCTGGAAGGCTTCTGTTAGGAGCAGTGTCCGTGAGTCCTTCTGCTTCAAACAGGAGATGGAAGAACTTACGCGCCAGCTGCGCCCGTACCTGACTTGGCCGTGGTCGCCCACACCTAAGTCACAATCAGTCTGGACTACTGCAACACTCTCTATGTGGGGCTGCCCTTGAAGATAGCTCGGAAGCTTCAGCTGGAAGCCCGATTACTAACTGGAGCCCCGTCCAGGGAGAAGTCCACTCCCTTGTTGCGGAAGCTCTGCTGGATGCCAGTCTGCTTCTGGGCTAAATACACAGTGCTGGTCAAATGGCTCAGGTCCAGGCTGCTTGACCAATCACATCTCCTACTACAAACCAGCGCAGGCACTGTGGTCATTGGAGGAGGCCCTGCTCTTTGTCCCACCCCTATGATCTCAAGCACGGCTGGTGGGAAGGAGAGCCAGGCTGTGTTGCAAACGGGTGGAGCATTCCAAACACAGCTCAGCTCAATGAGATGCCAAGTGAACGAATGACATGTCAACATACACTCTGCATCTTGTTACCAAGAAAAAAATACACAACTGGCCAGGGGATTTGAAGGACCCCCCCCCCCTCCTTCCACGGTGAGGATGATGACGATGTTTGTTTATAAGAAGACTCCAAGTGGCTGACATTCAAAACATTTCAATACAAACAAAACAAACACGGCAAAAATGCTTCAGCCCAGATTCTGCAGAGAAACCTGCCGGACTTCCCAGGGACCGGGAGGGAGAACGGCAAGCCCACCTGATGAGCAACAACAATGGGGAGGGGAGGACTGCCAAGTGTGGCCCCTCGGGGACCCTTCTGGCCCTTTGTCCCCTCCCTGTGGCACAAGGTGGCCGCCCTTTCCCCCTCACCCCCCTCCCTGTCCCCACTGCTCACCTGTTCCGGGGTTGAGGTGGAAGCGTCCCTTGGCGTTCCCGGCACGCAGGGCGTAGCTGACCCGGCCGTTCTCGCCCAAGTCCCGGTCCCTGGCCACCACTTGCAGCACCAGGAAGCCGGTTGGTTGGTCTTCAGGGACGTCGGCCTTTGCGGGGGAGAGGAACTCGGGCGCGTTGTCGTTCTCGTCCGTGACAAAGACGTGTGCGGTGACGGCTGCCGAGCGGCGCTGGCTGGCATTGAGGGCCTGGTCTGTGGCCTGGACCACCAGCAGGTAGGCGGCCTGGCTCTCCCGGTCCAGCAGGCCCTGCAGGCTCAGCTCCCCGCTGCGAGGGTCCAGCTGGAAGGGCGGGAGGGCCGCCTCCTGACGCAAGAGGCTGTAGCGCAGCTGGCTGTTGGGGCCCGGGCCGTCCTTGTCCAGCGCCTGGAACGTGAAGAGGGAGAAACCGGGGGCCGCGCTCTCGGACACCACCACTGTGACCGGGTCCTGCGGCCAGGCGGGTGCATGGTCATTACGGTCCTGAACGTGGATCTCGACCAGCACTAGGCGCTGGCTCGGGTAGCCCTGTGCAGCATCCTCCACGCTCACTTGCAGAGTGTGCCTCGTACCGGCCTCGTAGTCCAGCTCCTGCGTCACATAGATCTCCCCCGTCTCTGCGTCCACAGTGAAGACTCCGGCCCCAGGGCTGCTCCCCACCAGCATGTAAGTTGCTGGCCCACGGGGAATCGGCTCTGCCGTGGCTACGGAACCAATGATGGAGCCGGGCGGGAGCCCCTCAGTCGGCTGGAGGGTCAGCACCACAGCGTCTGGCCGAGGAAGCCCACGTCCTGAGGAGACCACCTGCAGAGAAGGGCAGTTGGGAGAAAGACCAAGTGGGGCCAAGGTTTGGGGAGGGGGATTGTCTATAGGCATGTAAGCAGCCCCTCCCAGGTACCTGGATGCGCACGACCGCCGTTGCGCTGCGAGGGTTCGTGCCCCGGTCGCTTGCGGTCACCGTGAAGATGTATTCTCCGCGGTCAGCCTGACGGAGCTTGGTGGCCGTGCGTAGCTCCCCGGTGGCCGCATGGAGGAAGAAGCGCTCGGCCCAGGTGCCTGCAGGGGAGGAAAGCAGGTGGTCGTTGGAGGCCTATGGAAATTGGATCCCATACCACCCCTATCCATCCTCAGCAGACTACGAACTGGACCATCCTGAGATGCCTCAGGAACCAACTGACTGCATTCCCAGTCGCATGCCCAAGGGCTGCCCAGAACCCCCAAATGCATTGTTCCATTTATTTATTATTTATTTATTACTTGCACTTATTAACCGCCACTCTCAGCCCTAGGGCGACTCGTGGCGGTGTACAAAAACATAGAAAAGACAATTTACAAAAGTCATGACAACACAACAACATTCTACTAATACATAACATCTAATTATACTAAAAATCCGCTTCGTCTAGTCATGGGGACATAATCAGTCTCATAGTCATAGTCCGTTCCGTTCCATGGGGCCGTTACCTGCCAGTGAGTAGGCGATGGTCCCGTTCTCGCCCTCGTCAGGGTCCTTCGCCTGCAAGGAGGCCACCAGGAGCCCTGCTGGCTTCTCCTCTGGGACCTGGCACAGACACAGTGGGAGCAGATGGGGGCTGAGAACCTGCACCAACTGGTGACCCGGAGAAGAGCAGGCAATGCTCAAACTCAGCACCCTCCACCCTCTTGGGTTTCATCCGTGGACTGCACAAGTCTCCACTCCTCAATGAGTAGCTAGACTTAGATATATGATTAGAGTGAGGGATTGCTTTCCCCACATTCCTATGCATGCTTTTCCTAGAAAGGGATTTGTCTTTTCTTCCTGTTTGCCACTGTCTCCTCCCCCCTTGAAGATGTAGCAATGGAACCTCTGTAAGGGATGAGGTAACTTCCTCTTTAGAGGTATTTTTTATTGCCCTGGCTTTTGACCATGTGCTCATTCTCCATTGCCGTTTCTTCTGCCTTTGTCTTCCTTCTAGTGAGGACACATTTTGCCATTCTCCAGGCAAAATGTAGCCACATGGATACTTTTCATCAGCAGAATATTTCTATAAAAGACTCAATCTAATAATGCTGAAAGTGTGGCAGACCTGAGGAGTCTGGTCCACCCACTATGCTCTGCTCCATGGGAAGGAGAGAGAGGGTGTCCCTATGGAGAGTAGCAGATTTGCAAGGAAGCAGTCTGGTCACTTTGGGGCTTCTTTCTCAACGGAAAAGGAAGAAGGACACTTTTACCTTTTATCTTTCTGAGAACATGAGCTTAGTAAACTAGTTTTCTCCAAGACTCTCTTCCATCTAGAATGGATTTCTTTTTTACTTTCATAAATATTTTTAACTTAAACTTGTGACTCTGCAATCCTGTGCCATGCTGTTGAACGGAAGCTAATCCTGGCTCACCACACTTTCGTTTCTCTGCCCCCATACCTTCCTGCCCAGGACCCTCAGCCCCCATACCTTCCTGCCCAGAGCCCTCTGCCCCCATATCTTCCTGCCCAGGACCCTCAGCCCTCATACCTTCCTGCCCAGAGCCCTTCGCCCCCATACCTTCCTGCCCAGAAACCTCAGCCCCCATGCCTTCCTGCCCAGAACCCCCAGCCCTCATACCTTCCTGCCCAGAGCCCTCAGCCCCCATACCTTRCTGCCCAGAACCCRCWGCCCRCATACCTTCCTGCCCAGAGCCCTRRGCCCCCATACCTTRCTGCCCAGAKKCCRCAGCCCRCATACCTTCCTGCCCAGAGCCCTCAGCCCCCATACCTGCCCAGAACCCTCTGCCCCCATACCTTCCTGCCCAGAGTCCTCAGCACCCATACTTTCCTGCCCAGAGCCCTCCACCCCCATACCTTCCTGCCCAGAGTCCTCAMCCCCCTACCTGCACCAGAAGCTCCCGCCCCTCAGCCACATGCAGGAAGCTGGGCGTGTTGTCATTCTCATCCAGCACAGTAACATAGATGGTGCCCGTGGCACTGCGTGGCGGTGTCCCCCCATCCTGCACCAGGACCTGCAGCTGGTAGCTGGCTTGCTGTTCCCGGTCCAAGCTCTTCCCGATGCTGAGCTCTCCTGCAGGGTGGGTGCCCGGATCAGCCCTTGCCAAGAGACCCTTGCCCTCCCTTGGGATTCCCTCCCTTTCATGCTAAGGACCCCCTCCCTGCCCCCACTTCCCATCTCACCAGTCTGTGTGTGGATCAGGAAGCTGCTTTCTGGGAGTGGCACCAGGCGGAAGGTGAGGCGGCTGTTCTGCCCGGCGTCCCTGTCACTGGCTGCCACTCGGCCTACGCTGCTGCCGGCTGGCTGGTTCTCGCCCACGGTGAAGAAGTAGCGCTCCTCACTCAGCCGGGGGCTGTTGTCATTCTCGTCGGTGACAGTGACGCGCACCGTGCTGCTGCCTGTCTGGCGCCCCTCGCCCTCACCCGCCACGGCCAGCACCATCAGCACGTACAGCTCCTGCACCTCCCGGTCCAGGGCGCTGCGGATGTGCAGCCAGCCCGTGTCCGGTGCGATGCCAAAGCTGGAGGCGTCCCCATCGGCACGCAGGTGATAGGTGAGTTGGGGGCCCGACTCCTGCGCCAGCGCACGCACCTGCAGGAAGCGAGTGCCCACCGGCACCCCTTCTCGCACCTCCACCCGGTAGGTGAGTGTATCGAAGACGGGGCCGTGGTCGTCCTCCGCCCGGACGTGGACGAGGAGGGTGAATGTGGCGCTGAGCCGGGGGACGCCTCCGTCTTGGGCCAGGATGAGCAGCTTGAAAGGCGATCCGGCCTCCCTCGCCAAGGGCCCCGCCAGCCTCACCTTTCCTGAGGAATGCTCCACCGCGAAGGCAGCCGCTGCTCCTGCCCCATTGGGCGCCAGCTCGAAGTGGACGTGCCCGTTGGTGCCGCTGTCCCGGTCCTCCGCCTGCACCGTGTACACCACCGTGCCCAGGGCGGCCCCGAGGGGAAGCAGCACAGAGTCGGAAGGGGCAGGGAAGGCGGGCGCGTTGTCATTGACATCCGAAATGCTGATCTGCACCCGGGCGCTGCTGTAGGCCGGAGGGGAGCCGCTGCGAGCCTGGACGTCCAGGGTCAGGGCCGGCTGGGCCTCGTGGTCCAGGGCACGGCTGGTGTGGAGCTTCCCGGAACGCGGGTCGATGGAGAAGAAGCCTTGCGGGTCTCCCGAGGAGATGGAGTAGAAGACTCCCCCTGCGTGACCTGGACGGGGTAGCAGAGAGAACAGGGGTGGAGGGCGGGGCACTGCCATCGTTTGCCAAGGGTCCCCCCCCTCTTCTCCCACCCAGGGCAGACCCTCCACCCTCTATTCCTTTGCTGTTGATCTTTAGAGGCTGAGAGAGCCCTCCATCTGATGGGGCAGCCCCACACACATGGGCTTTCCAGGACCCTCGGCCCATGGGACACCCATCTGCCAGGCAGGCATTTCGGCTGCTTTTCCATCGTCCACTTTGAGCATTTAGAGTCCCATACGGCACTCAAGAGAACTTTAGTTTGCAGACCAATCAATCAGTATGCCTTCCCTTCTGAGGCAAGTACTGGGAGACGAGTACATGGCTCAGCTCCACCAGATGGTTGTTTCTGCTCCTTCTCAAGGTCTTTGGCTTCAGACTCTTAATCTGCCTCCCTCCCTTCCTTCCTTGAACAACAACAACAAAGGAAGTGCCCTGAGCTGTGCCGGAAAGGCAGCTTCCACTTTGGACCGAAATCCAAGGAAGAGCATCCTGCTTTCCTCAGCCCCGCCCCTCCTCCCCCGGCCTGGTCTGTGTGGCTCAAGGGCAAGGCTGACTACGACTCCGTTGGAGCATGGATCAGTTAAAGTGTATGTGTGTGTCAACTGTAAAAAAAGAGGACTGAAGCTGATTGGTTGGGCAATACCTGGGGAGATGGCTGAGCCTGGGACTTTTGGGTACTGTTACATTTTTGTTCAGGCTTGAGCTATGCATATGCAGAGAGAGAGAGAGAGTTTGAAGAGAGAAGCAGAGAGGAAGAGAGTTTTTGGAGTCTACCTCATGAGCTGCTGAAGGGGTTTATCTAAATGGACAAAGAAATACTATTTTGAACCTCTCATACGAGGACATTATGTGAGTTGGTGCAACAGATCACCCTGTACATATGGAATCAGTTAAAGTGTATGTGTGTGTCATGAAGCTGATTGGTTGGGTAAATCCGGGGAGATATCTGAGCCTGGGACTTTTGGGTACAGTTACATTTTTGTTCAGGCTTGAGCTATGCATATGCAGAGAGAGACAGTTTGGAGAGAAGCAGAGAGGAAGAGAGTTTTTGGAGTGTACTTCATGAGCTGCTGAAGGGGTTTATCTTAATGGACAAAGAAATACTATTTTGAACCTCTCAAACAAGGACATTATGTGAGTTGGTGCAACAGATCACATTAAAGTGTATGTGTGTGTCAACTGTAAAATAAGAGGCATGAAGCTGATTGGTTGGGCAATACCCAGGGAGATGGCTGAGCCTGGGACTTTTGGGTACTGTTACATTTTTGTTCAGGCTTGAGCTATGCATACGCAGAGAGAGACAGTTTGAAGAGAGAAGCAGAGAGGAACAGTACCTCATGAGCTGCTGAAGAAGTTTATCTAAATGGACAAATAAATACTATTTTGAACCTCTCATACGAGGACATTATGTGAGTTGGTTCAACAGATCACCTTGTACGTATGTTTTTCTGAACAAAGAGTAAACTACTTGTTCTTTACTGTTCACCTGCGTGGCATATTTTCTTTCTCTGGCAAGGTAGTGTGTGGGCTAATCAAAAGTGAACGACACCTGGTTTATTTTACATTATGCCACATATTCTGGCTTTGGGCACCAAGAGGAGGAGGAGGAGGAGGAGGAGGAGTCATGGGTGGAGTAAGAGGGGTGGTCCCGAAGGTCCTACCTGAGGGGCTGTGGGCATAAACGGCCCCGATGCTGCTGCCCAGCCGGGTGTCCTCGGGGACGGAGAAGTAGTACTGGGCACGCTCAAAGCTGGGGGCGGAGACAGTCCCGGCCACGATGCTGATGTTGACCTGAGCATTGGGCTGGGCGACCAGGCCCCCGCCGTCCCGCGCTCCGATCTCCAGCTGCACCAGTGTATTGGCCTTGCCGGCCAGGCTCCGCAGGAGGGAGATGGCCCCTGAAGAGAGAGTGGCAACTCAGGGAGACTGGGAGGGAGAGAGGGAGGAAGCCATGCTACCCTGGCCTCCAAGGAAGGAAGGTGGGGAGTGGGCTGTGGGGACACCTGCGCTTGTCCAGAAGGAGGGAATGAGAGATAGGACCGAGAGCTCCTCCTCCGTCCGTTCCCACCCCACTGCCCCTCCTCACCGGTGTCGGGGTTCATGGTGAAGAGGGGTGGCGTGTTGCCGGCCACCAGGTGGTAGGTCACCCGCCCGTGGGGCCCATCATCCTTGTCGTGGGCCGTGACACGCAGGACGGCGGACCCTGGCTGGCTCTGGGTGCTGATGCTGGTGGCATACTCCAGCGGGTAGAAGGCGGGCGCGTTGTCGTTGACGTCCTCCAGGAACACTCGGACGTAGGCCATGGAGCTGAGGCCACCCTGGATATGAGGGGGGCACAGGGGTGAGGAACCAGGCAAGACCTCTCCTACAAATGGAGGCCAACTGGGAAGATGGTGGGAGGTCAAAGCTAGGAGTCCTTGAGGCAGAAAGAGATCTACCCTGTCCTCAAGGTCAGGGTGAGGGACATCCTTCAGGGCCTGTCCAGAGACCACCCCCTTCCCCTGCCCCCCAGGAAAGTTCCAAAGTGGGCTTCATGCCCCCCTCAAAGCCCAGGAAATGACCCCTCCCTCCTTCCTTCCACCCCCAGGGCTGTCTAAGTGTCCCTCATGGGCTGCTCACCCCATCGATGGCCGTGACGGTGAAGTCGTAGGCAGTGGTACCCTCGTCACGGTCCAGATCCCGCGCCGTGCAGAGCTGGCCGCTGTCTTCTCCCAGGACGAAGGCAGATGGTGCCGCGGTGCCCAGACCCGTCCCCAGTGAGTAGGAGAGGGAGCCCAGGGAGCCGCTGTCGGCATCTGTGGCCGTGATCTGTGGGTCACAAAGCGGGGGAGACTCAGCACTTAAGGGCCAGGAGGATTTTCAAGGTGGTGCGGTCAGCCCTTCCGGCCTCAAACCATCAGGCGTGAAGAAGCAACAACCTTTGTGTGTCTGTGTGAATAAGGTTGGATGCCTGACCATCATCTCCCAAAGTAGTTGCTCTACTCTGAACTCAAGAACGGAAAACAGAATGTTGGTGGGCAGGAAAAGAGATTGAAAGATGGCCTCAAAGCCAACCTTAAAAACTCTGGCATAGACACTGAGAACTGGGAAGCCCTGGCCCTTGAGCGCTCCAGCTGGAGGTCAGCTGTGACCAGCAGTGCTGCAGAATTTGAAGAGGCACAAATGGAGGGTGAAAGGGAGAAGCGTGCCAAGAGGAAGGCGCATCATGCCAACCCTGACCGAGACCACCTTCCACCTGGAAACCAATGCCCTCACTGCGGAAGAAGATGCAGGTCAAGCATAGGGCTCCACAGTCACCTGCGGACCCACAACCAGGACACCGAACTTGGAGGACTATCATCCTCGGAAAATGAGGGATCGCCTAAGTAAGTAAGTACCCCGATTGACTTCACGACTAATCAGGAGGAACTCCCTCAGGCGCTGGTGCAAAATAGGGGTTGAAACGGAGACCAGGGACATTGGGAAGCCATGGGTGGAATCCCCTTTGCCCAGCCATGGAAACCCAGTGGGTGACCCTGCAGGAAAGCCCCACTCTCCCAGGGAAGGCATAGGCCAGCCCACGCCGAGGAAGCCTTGCCAAGGAATCCCCACGAGGTGCATTCATACATTCATGCATTCATTCATGCATTCAGGGCCCTGTCAGTCAGAAATGGCCTGAAGGCACGGGACAACTGCAGCCTCCGGCAGAGGAGATGAAGTGGGAGACGGGAGTGGAGCGCTGGTTATTTAGACCTCTGGAAAGAGAAATAGACCCACCCCACAAAAAACCCTCACTCGTTTCCTTGTAGATGCCTTTCAGCTCTGGGTGGGAAACACTGGGTGACACTCCCTTCCAGGAATACCAAGAGGGTGAGTTTGGGGTGGGACCGCTCCCACTCAGATCTTTGGCATTCCTGGAAGGGATGCTCTGTTGGGTTGCGGGGGGGACGGGACACTCAAGTCTCAAACCCTCCCCCCCATAGCCCAGATGCCCTTCCCATCCCATCTGATATCCCCTCCCCCCATCATTGAGATAAAGCTTTGGGTTATTGTAGGTTTTTCCGGCTGTATGGCCATGTTCTAGAAGCATTCTCTCCTGATGTTTCACCTGCATCTAGAGCAGACATCCTCAGAGGTTGTGAGGTGTATGCTGCCCCAGTTAGATGTCTGGATGCCACCCGTTGGACTATTTGAACCTTCCGAACAGTCTTCAAAGCTCTGAACTCTGCGAGCACAGCATTTTTCCAAATGAAGCAGAGAGTGTATGAAGACCGGGACATCCGTAGGGAGACCAAGATGCTTGTTGATAAAGTTATTGTCCTTCCAACCCTGCTATATGCCTGTGAAACGTGGACTGTCTATAGATGTCACATGCAACTCCTAGAATGATTCCATCAGCGCTGTCTCCAAAAAATCCTGCAAATCTCTTGGGAAGACAGGCGGGGAAACGTCAGCATGCTGGAAGAAGCAAAGACCACCAGCATCGAAGCAATGGTCCTCTGCCATCAACTCCGCTGGACCGGCCATGTTGTCCGAATGCCCAACCACCGTCTCCCAAAGCAGTTGCTCTACTCTGAACTCAAGATTGAAAGATGGGCTCAAAGCCATTCTAAAAACTGTGGCGAGAACTGGGAAGCCTTGGCCCTTGAGCACTCCAGCTGGAGGTCAGCTGTGACCAGCAGTGCTGTAGAATTTGAAGAGGCCCCAATGGAGAGCAAAAGGGAGAAATGTGCCAAGAGGAAGGTGCGTCAAGCCAACCCCGACTGGGACTGCCTTCCGTCTGGAAACCTATGTCCTCACTGCAGGAGAACTAGCGGGTCAAGAATAGAGCTCCACAGTCACCTACAGATGCACCGCTAGAACATATCACTTGGAGGACCATCATCCTCAGACTACGAAGGATCACCTAAGTAAGTAAGTAAGTTTGCTATCATTTTTTGTTTTGAGTGCTATCTCTATGTTTTATATTTTGGACTATTAAAACAGTCACGAAGTAAGCACTGCTTTAATTAAACTGTTTGGTACAAACTGGGAGTTTGTTTGGTTCATCTCTGCCTCTGTATCGGCAGAGCCCTGGCATTGTGACACCTTGATGTGACCAGAATGTGGAAAACTGTGGCCAAGTCTGACCTCCCAAGGTACGGGCGCAACTGGCACACAAGTTTTAGTTGTGCGATAGCTTCCCTGGCCTCTGGCGAGACCTGGGGAGATCAGCGATGAATTTATCTCATGCAAAGCCTACAGAGAGTCCCAAGTAAGTAAGTAAGTAAGTAAGTAAGTTTGCTATCAGTTTTTGTTTTATATTCTGTGGCTGAGTGCTATCTTTATGTTTTATATTTTGGACTATTAAAACAGTCACGAAGTAAGCACTGCTTTAATTAAACTGTTTGGTACAAACTGGGAGTTTGTTTGGTTCATCTCTGCCTCTGTATCGGCAGAGCCCTGGCATTGTGACACCTTGATGTGACCAGAATGTGGAAAACTGTGGCCAAGTCTGACCTCCCAAGGTACGGGCGCAACTGGCACACAAGTTTTAGTTGTGCGATAGCTTCCCTGGCCTCTGGCGAGACCTGGGGAGATCAGCGATGAATTTATCTCATGCAAAGCCTACAGAGAGTCCCAAGTAAGTAAGTAAGTAAGTTTGCTATCAGTTTTTGTTTTATATTCTGTGGCTGAGTGCTATCTTTATGTTTTATATTTTGGACTATTAAAACAGTCACAAAGTATTGTCGAAGGCTTTCATGGCTGGAATCATTAAGTTCTTGTGGGTTTTTAGCCCGAAAAAACCCACAAGAACTTAGTCACAAAGTAAGCGCTGCTTTAATTAAACTGTTTGGTACAAACTGGGAGTTTGTTTGGTTCATCTCTGCCTCTGTATCGGCAGAGCCCTGGCATTGTGACACCTTGATGTAACCAGAGTGTGGACAACTGTGGCCAAGTCTGACCTCCCAAGGTACGGGCGCAACTGGCACACAAGTTTTAGTTGTGCGATAGCTTCCCTGGCCTCTGGCGAGACCTGGGGAGATCAGCGATGAATTTATCTCATGCAAAGCCTACAGAGAGTCCCAAGTAAGTAAGTAAGTAAGTAAGTAAGTAAGTAAGTAAGTAAGTTTGCTATCAGTTTTTGTTTTATATTCTGTGGCTGAGTGCTATCTTTATGTTTTATATTTTGGACTATTAAAACAGTCACAAAGTATTGTCGAAGGCTTTCATGGCTGGAATCACTAAGTTCTTGTGGGTTTTTAGCCCGAAAAAACCCACAAGAACTTAGTCACAAAGTAAGCGCTGCTTTAATTAAACTGTTTGGTACAAACTGGGAGTTTGTTTGGTTCATCTCTGCCTCTGTATCGGCAGAGCCCTGGCATTGTGACACCCTGATGTAACCAGAGTGTGGACAACTGTGGCCAAGTCTGACCTCTCAAGATAGGCGCAACTGGCACACAAGTTTTAGTTGTGCGAATGCCCCTGACCTCCGGCGAGACCTGGGGTTCCAGGCTCAGCGATGAATGTATCTCATGCAAAGCCTGCAGAGAGTCCCAAATTGGGAGAAAAGCCGGTAAAGAAGGGAAATCAATACAAACAAATGAACGAACGGATGGATAAACAAGGTCTTCTTGCTGCTCTGGGCATGTACTGTATGTGTGTGTGTGAGAAGAGTTCTTGTATGTTGTGTGTGGTTCAAGGAAGGGCGGGCGGCCGCCTCCTTCCCGTCAGGCTCTCTCTCCATCCTTCTGACGCATTCCGCTCAATTGGCTCAACACGGGGACGTCCAGAAGGGCGAACTGAGAACTGACCGACAGGCTCTGGGGTCATGAGTCCCATAGAAGAAGGGGGCTGGGAGGGGAGGGGGCTGCGGGAGGGGAGGGGAGGGGGGTCTCCTGGCACTGCTTGGCACTGCATCTCCCTGGCCCTGGGCGGAGGGAGCCTTTGGTGGGCCTGCAAGCGGTCTCGGGTTTCAAGGGAAAATGCTGACGGGAGAAAAGAGGGGAGATGGAGGGGGGCCTGACTCAGCAGGGAGGCCTCTGCCCCACAAGGTCTCCTCCTCCGCCAAGAGCCAAGGGCAACCATGGCACGGATTGAGGATTGAGGCTGATTGCGGGTTTGGTTGTCCCTTCCTAGGAAGGGAGTCACGTCCTCGGTTGCGCAGGGACTCGAACCCAGGCTTGGCTTGCTGCCCTTAAGCAGTTCTGTTAACCAAGGGAGCCTCACAGAATCCTACATAGAGGTCAAGGAGACCCCAAAGGCCATCCAGTCTGACCCCCTTCTGCCACAAGGGAAGACACCATCCAAGCCCTCCCGACAGATGGCCATCCAATCCGCTTCTGTGTTGTCGAAGGCTCTCCTGGACTCCCAGGAAGCAGCACATTCCTCTCAAGAGCAGCCAAGACCATCAGGAGGTTTTTTCTTCTCATGTTAAGCTGGAGTCTCGTTTTCTGCAATTTGAACCCGTTGCTCCATTGTGTCCCAGCTGGGGTGTTGTGTGGTTTCTGGGATGTACAGCTATGTTCTGGCAGAGTTTTCTCCTGATGTTTCACCTGCATTTGTGGCTGGCATCTTTAGAGGATCCTCGGTCAGATGCAGGCGGAACGTCAGGAGAAAATGCTGCTAGAACACATTGACCATGTCATTTTCTGCCATTTGAACCCGTTGCTCCATTGTGTCCCAGCTGGGGTGTTGTGTGGTTTCTGGGATGTACAGCTATGTTCTGGCAGAGTTTTCTCCTGATGTTTCACCTGCATTTGTGGCTGGCATCTTTAGAGGATCCTCGGTCAGATGCAGGCGGAACGTCAGGAGAAAATGCTGCTAGAACACATTGACCATGTCATTTT